CGCCAGGGTCGCTGCTGCGCGAGCGGCCTTGACCGCTCGCATGTCATTGGCAGTTCGGTCCCTCCCCGTCCCCATCTATACCGAGGTGGGGAGGGGAGAAGAGGGGAAGAGAGGGGAGGGAGCGGCACTCGCTCGGCACTGGGCGATACCTGGCTGACCCCGCGCTCCCTCGCTGACCTCCGTCCTGCCCTCAGGCGAAGATCGACTTCCTCGGCCCGTAGCGGCCGAGCGGAAAACCGAGCTCGCGGGGCGCGACTCTATTGTCCCAATCTTATAAATGAAATGCTGTCGTATTCACGGCATTAGATAATGTCGTATTCACTGCATTTTACCACAGCAGTGGATGTGGTAAAATGCAGTCCAAAACAAACGGAAGCACACGATTGATGCATAATGCGCCCTCCCATTCAAATAAGGTCGCCCACTTCAACAGATGGTGTATTTTCTTAGGGCGTAACAGATGCAAAACGCTACCGAACTTTTTTAGTTCGGCCACTAGGACCGTTAATATACAATTGACTGAAATGCGTGAAAACCATTTTGCATTTAATAGCCGTTTTCTGCACCCAAGCATAAGCCAGTGACGCCCTGTCCATTCTAAAGCGTTCATGAGATTGGTCCCAGCACCCGATTTTATATGAGAAAGTCGTTCAAAAAGCATCTTATCTCTAACCAATTTATTTATTATGGCCATTTTTACAGGACGTCTATAGAGCTTTGACTTTTACATTTCTTCCTCGTTCAGGAGCAACGTTTTAACCCTCACCAGCTTTCAGGTTTTCTGAATACCGAGGGGGCGTTGGGGGGTTGGAACTGAGGGAACAACCCCCTTCGCCGATTCGCCCCTAATTGAGCTAGAGCCTCACGAAAGAAACGATCGTGTCCGTCGTTACGAAATGTAGCGATCGGTCTCCGATTTTAAGGACTAGGGTCAGCCGATGACTTCTGAGGTCAGGTCAAGTGGTCCAAGGCACAGGTTCGGTTTTTGGTAAATAACTTCGCTAAAAATGATCGCAGATCCGCGATTTTAGCCGCGTCGTGTTTGTCTAGCTCAGGCGTGTCGAATGGTATACTTTTTCTTCGGGTGAGATCAACTTAAGGTGTTAAGTTTGGGTTAAGGTCAGGTCACAGCCCGTCAGGTCACGAAGCTGGTCAAAGGAGGTCATATTGCATATCAATCGATTTGGCAGGTCTTTCCATGTCCATTAGTGGCTTTATCGACTCGGTAGCTTTAGTTGATCGGGAGTTATTGACGAAAAACAGATGAGCCAAAAGGATTTTGTCTTATAAGTTGACCCTAGGGCCTCACAATGGTCTTGCCCGGAAAAATGTATATATTTTTTGTATACACTGTGCATATTTCTATTTGGCGCGGCTGAGCATGACAAACGTAATACCACCGAGCCGCCTTCCCCTGAGACCATTTTGCGAGGTTAATCAAATCCCGACCTTGTTTTTCCCTGGCCATTAATGTTCTAACCTTACGGGTGATTGTTTGAGCGCGGAAGATGCTGAATCTTGGTTAACCCCATACTTATCATATGATAAAGAACGTCAGTGTTAGAAAGTTAATTAACAATTTAATTTAGGATAGTTTAATTCAAGTCCGTATGAATCCGACTTGACAATTTACTAGGTGGGTTTTGCAATTCAAGTCGGTATGAATCCGACTTGACAATTTACCAGGTGGGTTTTGCAGCGCTATTAGTTTGGCATGTAGGGGAAGCCGGGGGAAGCCCGGCATAGTAAGCTCTTTTTCATTTTTATTATATACCATACGTGCTGTATAAAATGTTGATATCCTGCTAGCTAGCTAAGTTCATTGGCCGTGTTTTCCCAAAAATTCGGTTTCGTGGAATAAGTATAAGGTTGAGAAAATCGAGTTTTAATAAAGTGTTGATTTTTCTGGGGTAAGCCCGGCATAGGGGTAACGCCGGCCACCTCCCCAGCGCTTTACAACGAGTTGATGAAACCATTATGTGTTTTCCAAATATTAACGGAAAGTGAAATATTAAGGTACTGATTAGCTCTGGACATCTATAGAGTTTATGTCACTACTGGTATTTTAGCTAGCGTCTACTACATATACAGTACAGGTCGATGAAAATCGTGATGCAAAATTGACAAAAAATGTGTATTTCAAAATTCCTTAAAATTTATTTTTCTTTTTACCTTAATGCATCATATTGCATATCATTCGACTCGGCTGATGAAGAAGAACACAACGACACCATTTTTGAAGCTCTAGCTTCATTGTCTGTCGCGTTATCTGCAAAAACGTAGTTTGACCCTAGTTGACCTTAAGTGACATGACTGGCTTTGTCTATGATAACATGCTTATTTTCGAAATTTATCTTTGATCTAGGTGTAAACCAAACCTGCTCAGTACCTATTATCTCATGGAAAACAATGGTTTAGTGGCATTGCTCTCGGTTGGGGGTAAGCTTGGCCACTCGCCCGGGGTTACCCCAATGTGCTAATTTTTATTTTAGAACAGCGATATTCGAAAAAAATGTCATACTTAAGCCAGCCTGCCTCGTCACCCTTCACTACAAACACTTAAACGGTCCTTACATAACATTCGTATAAATCTTAGTACTGTATGGTATAACATTAACGGTGCAAGATATCTCACTTTTTAGCTAAAAACCCTTAACCCTATTAGTGGCAGGCTCCTGGCTACCCCCTATTAGTGGCAGGGGGGGCTGTTTACGACCCCCCCTTGATATCTCGAGATCTAACGGGCCGATTTTCAAAATTCAAACGGCATTCGATTTCGCTCAACGTGATCTACATTTCTAAAAAATAAAAATTAAAAAATGTCAATTGGGGGGTAGAGGGGGGTAAAAACGGGCAAATTGCAGATACATTTTAGACTGTTTATCACGGCCAGGTTTCTGAACCAATCTTAACGCAACTTTTGCCGATCGATAGAGAATGAACCAGGAATTCACATGGATCCTAAAAATATGCATTTTCAAAAATCATAGGCGGATACAGATCATTGAGATTGGGGGTACACAAAAAGTATAGTAAATAAGGTTTTTGTTGGTACTGTTTCTAAAAAGGGTGGTAATGGTCTTGTTATGTTATAATTTTCTTATGAGAGAACGACTAAAATTGTATTGGTAATGCATAGGCGGTGTCAGGGCACCTATGTTGGGAGGTAAAACATAACCCCCCTTTTTGGACGCCTGGATCCGCCTATTATAGCAAAAACGTGTCAAAAGAGGATGCACAATAACTGTATATGTTATCACATGATACCTTTTATTCACTGTTCGTAAAACTGGTGCAGCATCGTGATCTTCGCCCAAATGACTTGCTTCACGAATAGGACCCCCCAATTCCCAGTGCTCTGGAGCCGCCCCTGGTAAAGTTATGATCTTGAAATTTTCAGGGAATGTGCTCAATTTAGTTTTAGGAAAAGTCAGAAAATTTCAGCATCGTAGCTTCAGCGGTTTTGGAGATATTCCCGAAAAACCTGAGGGGTGGATAAAAACAACCCCCCCCCCTGCCACTAATAGGGTTAAAATATCATTTTTGCGCTATAACTTTAACAATATGCAATTTTTGTCAGCCTTAACTTTTTTGCTGGCGTTACCTTAGCTGCCACGCTGAAAGGACAAACAGTTGAGCATTTTATTGTGAATAATTTAGCTGGAAACGGGGTGGCCGGGCTTCCCCCGCGCCCGGGCTTCCCCCGGCTTCCCCTAATTATAAATCACTGCTTATTTCGATCCGGATATAGTTATTCAATGCTGGCCTTTGCGTCCTCAGAAAAGTTGTTTATAATCATGAATGCTTGCATTGACTCATACTTTCCATTTTTCAGCACCATTATTCGCCGTAGTTGACCAGGTGTTTTTCTTCAGCTCTCCCCTGAATCATTTGGCTTAGACCCATGGCGTATCACCCGTGCATCGCAAGACGCACCTACCACACACAAGTTCACGATCCCCACGAACCCACATCAGCGTCCGTTCGCTTGGTGTGTGACTCCTTGACCTTTGGCCGCGACAACTGCCAGCCCACCGGAGCACCCCTCCCTACACGCGCTGCCCCGCCCGATCCCCTCCCTCCCCCCCCCCGGGGGTCGTGTCACGAAGGTTCGGGCTTACGCTACTACCGGCCGCTGCACAGAGCTGTCACCTAGCGCTTGGGAATGTGTGGTCTGGTGCGGATTCAGCCAACTACCGGCTCGCGACACCAGCGCCACGTAGTGGCGACGGTACATTCTTTTTAGACATACTGTACATCACTAGTCTTTAGTCGACCACGTCACGTCAAAACGGTTTTCCGACCCCAGCACGTGCAGCCTGCACCCCTCGCAGACGGTGACCCCCCTGGAAACTGGTTCAAGGTGTTACCGATGTGTCCCGCCAGTATGGCTTTGCCCGTGACCTCGGGTTGACCTGTAGCCTTGACAAAAAATTTCGTGTCACCGAAACTTTGAAGCGGAATAGCATGTGCCACGAAGCACCGAGCGAACCGAGGCCAGCACCAAAAGTTTACCTCGCCGGAGACGAATCAAACGTTCCCACTTTCGTCCCGATCGGTCCACCCATTTTGACTTCAGGTCCAAAAAAGCTTGGACAAACTCACTCACATACTCACTGACAAACAGGTTGCACCAAAATATTGGTTGCACCAAATCAAACAGGCCTCTTGCACCAAAATCCTCTTGCACCAATGCTTGGATTATTTTGCATCGTATACCCAGTCCAAGTCTCAAATGTAACAATTTGCGTGCAAAATTTAGCAAGCACATGTATGATTATGTATTGGGCTATTGCAAACAAATTTACCACCGTTAGATTAGCTTATTCTGAAACAGGTTTTACGATTTTACCCAGCTAGGTAGTTTGGTGCAAGAGGCGATCAACAATCAACTTATGCATTATGTCTTATTCCATGAACTATCCCAGCTTCCACATCTGCAATTATACAGATAAATACAAACATAACACTTGTAATGACAGTTTACCATTCGAACTGACCTTCTTCTTTAGCATGGCGACTAGCTCCACTTCTTCCTTTTGCGACATCTGCACCGCTTCTTTCATGATCTTTTGGATGGTGCTCACGCCGTGGAGGTCCTTTTCCATTGGCTGCGCTGTGGATGCCATCACTATGCCACGGACCAAGTGCCCTGCAGTCTTTACTTATCACGAGTGGTCGGTAAGGCCAGTCGCGGAGAATCGCAGTCGCAGGTCCGCAGACGGAGGCTTACGACCAGTGGCTCACACTCCGTCGTCCGGGGACTGAATGTCGGTGGACTGCCGTTCTCAGCCGTCTCGCGCGGAACCGACGCGTCGACACCGACGAGAGCACGCGCCGATACGGACGAGACCACGCGCCGGTACCGACTACTGACGTGACCACGCGGCGAATTCAACGAGAACTGAGCACCGAGGAGTGTAAAGGGCCTGCGTCACCTGCTAATGTAGTCGCTGCGATGAAGTATGAACCTACCTAAACAGGTACGATGGTGTCTATGTCATCAAGCGTTCCATCGCTAGCCTATCTGGTCGTAAACTGTTCACGTGGCTCTGATCATAAGATGTTGCATGTATATATGTACATTGTACATTGTACACTCAGTGTAACGTTGAATACTTATGGTGACGTCTTGCCAGATACCTAACAAACACGGAAATAAAGATTGGGAACTGCGCAGCCTATTTGTCATTCAACTGCACCAATTTCAGCTGTTTTCGAACCTCTCTCATGGTGGAGTGAAACGATGCCGCGGGGAGCCGGCCGATGCTGCGTGACACAAAGGATCGGGCACGGATGAGGGCGGTGCCCCGGGTCGAGGCGTGAGCCACAGCGGTCGCCCGAGGGTGCGTGAGATTGGGAGAAACTGGCCTGTATACGCTCGGGAGAGGAGAGACTTGATTGAGCGCTTACGGCCCTGCTTGAGAGGAAAGCGGCCGGAAAGCGGTGATACGGGCCGGAACAGGCCGTGCGGCGTGCTTCATTGCATGCGCGCAGATTAAAATGCTGCATCTCCGAGAAAAACAATTAATTGTGACCGTCATTGTGTCATTATGAAGATCATCGCCTGCCTAGTAACTATATCATAAAAATAGGTTTGAAGCGGGTACTATTAAAAATATGTGACTGTTACGTGTTTGAATTTATTAGTCACGCCTATGTGTTACGACAGCGCTGTCTACTGGCTAATAATTGAGGAACTAAGGATTACATGAATAATATAAAAGCAAATAGTTTCATAAGTCGTGTGAACATTTTACCTATTACACTTTGCAATCTGTTCTAAATTGCGTACTCGTATATCTTGCATGATGTGGCCTTGTAGATTTAGCTAAGTGGCGTGGGTGCCTCTCTCTCTCCGGGGGGCCTATTCCTCTCACCGCAGTGTGGTCTACTGGGGCGGGTCTGTGGCCGGATGGTTATACATAGTCGACTGTCGGCCCGTGAATCGGCCAGTGCTGATGAGAAAGCTGGACGGTGTGGGTCGCGCTGACCGGTGGAGTTTGACTGGCGGACTGAACGGCTGGGACTGAGCAGCTGCAGGACTGAGCGACTGCAGGACTGAGCGGCTGCAGAACTGAGTGGCTGGGACTGGGACTGACGTGTGTTATCGTGCCCAAAGGACATGAAGCTGAGAACAACGGTAAGAATTCGGCGGCTCTGGTTCCTTGGAGTGTTGAGCTGAAGTCGACGCATGCTCCTTTTCACGTAGGCTCAGCTGAGGATCTCATATCACATATACGAGTAGAATGTCACGTAGGCCGAGGAAATATGGGATGAATAAGCTGTTAACCCTGCGCAACTGCTTTGAAATAAAAATGAATTTTTGTATGCATAGGTAAACGGCCCGGCAGTCATTAAATATGAAAATAAATATAAATATTATAAATAATACAAACCATTATTTTGCTTTTAGTTTTATTGCAACACTTCTATTTAACTAATTAATCATGGTGGAGCACTTAGCAGTATGTGTCTAAATAAGCGAGTTTACTTTCGACATTCGAATAAATTCTCGTTAGCGCAGTTGCGGTTGAGGCTGCCAACTATAGGCCCAACTGCAGTGCCTGTGGTAATGGGCTCCAAGGGGGCATTTGGATCATTTGTCGTTTTCCCATAGTTTTTTTATTATATTACTATTCAATTTTTTTCCTATTGGAGATTTTCGACCCATGATGGTGCCAGCGTGTTTGCGTCGCGCTTCTGTTATAACAAAAATCGTCAGTTGAATACAAAAAAACACCCCTCGGGAAGTGTACCATTTATACCTGCATTCACCATCACTGAACTCTATTCCGTGTGGCCCTCCACTGACATTGGTCGTCTGCCTGTCACAGTTGGTGCTGCTGCTAGTGGTGCTGCTCGGTCTGCTGCTTCTGGAGGCCGACGGGGCCCGGTCCGGCAGGCCCGGACGTCCGGGGAAACCTGGCCGACCCGGAGTGCGGGCCGGAGCGCCCAGAGGCCGGCCCGGAGTCCGGGGTCGCGTCAGAGGGCACGCCAGGGGCAAGGTTCGCGGCAAAAGGCCGACCAAGGGCCGCAAGCCAGGTGAGAGCAAGTGAAAACAGCCGGCGAGTGTGTGTCGGTGACCTACTGACCAGCCGCACGTGTACTCGTAAATATCGCCCTTGAGAAGTGCCCCCATTATATAATTTAGTTATTTACATCTCACACACATATTAGAGTACCTATAACGAGCTACCCATAATAAAAAACATTGTATGACAGGAACATGAACATGCACACAGTTTATTGAATACAGATTGATTTCGTTACACCGCGCAGGCAGCAATGATGAACTATACATATTTTGAAAACACGTCAATAGTTCACAACTGTCTTGCTAAAACGAAATACGATGCCCTCGAACCGTTTATCTATACCTAATATGGAAGTGTTCTACTCTGGCTTCAGTTCACCTCCAATGTATAAATTGAACTCTTCTCGTGATCAACATTAGCACGCTGCCGACTCGCTCTCCCCTCTAAGCTGCGACCCGTTCGCTCGCTGAGCTGCGACTCTCCTCTCTCTCTCTCTCTCTCTCTCTCTCTCTCTCTCTCTCTCTCTCTCTCTCTCTCTCTCTCTCTCTCTCTCTCTCTCTCTCTCTCTCTCTCTCTCTCTCTCTCTCTCTGTCTGTCTGTCTGTCTGTTTGTCTGTCTGTCTGTCTGTCTGTCTGTCTGTCTGTCTGTCTGTCTGTCTGTCTGTCTGTCTGTCTCTCTCTCTCTCTCTCTCTCTCTCTCTCTCTCTCTCTCTCTCTCTCTCTCTCTCTCTCTCTCTTTCAGCTGCGTCCTGCTCCCCTCTAACCTGCGACCCGCTCGCTCCCTCTCGGAGTTACGACCACCCGCCCGCTCTCTGAGCTTCTGTCCCCCATTCCAGTCGTGCACAAGGAGGTGCCGGAGCGGACTCCCGTCTACCTGGAGTTAGCCGGAGAGGAGCGGCCGATTCCCGTGTTTCCGCTGGCTCCCGGCTCCGGCCACGAGCCCTTCACAGTGCGCGTGGCGGCTCCGCTGTCTGAGCCAGAGTCGGCGGCCTCCCCGGCCTCCTTCCAGCCGCCGCAGACAGTGCAGTCGTTCGTCGCGGCCGATGCCGACGGAACGACAGGGGCGACGCGGCCGATCTCGCAGTTTGACCTGTTCGGCGACGACTTCTTCGATACGAGCGCCGCCGGGCTCGGCCGGGCACCGCCGCAGTTTCCCACCTTTGAGACGGTGTTCGAAGGGGCGCCGTCGCGACGCAGGGGGGCCAGGAAGCTGTCTCCGCCGGCGGAGGACGCAGTGCTGGGATCCGGTGTCCCCGTGCGGGACACTGATAGTCAGGTGAGCAGCAGCGGATTTGGTGCGCGGTCATCGCTAAACAGTGTTCTCTGGCCGAGTTTTATTTATGCTGTGATACCTACATCTGAGGACATCATGATATGATGATACTAGGATTTATTCCTTGACATGCTTATGATCAATTCTGTCCACATCATGTCGGTGCCTTTTTGCTTAAAATGTGTCTGGGCTTGTGATCAAACTTTACTAACGTTGTATGATCTGACTTCTTTAATTTGTGTAAGATCTCGTCACGCTGATATAAGAACAATTCACTATTTTCGTTTATCCCCAGTCCCTCGACGCAGACGGCGGCATCGAGTACGAGTACGGTTATCTGGTGGACGGACGACGTGAGTCGGGGGCCGCCTTCGGTCTGCAGCAGGCGGCGGCTGACGGCATCACACGCGGCCGGTACGAGGTGCAGCTGCCCGACGGTCGCACCCAGGTGGTGACCTACACCGCGGGAGGTCAGGATGGTTACCAGGCGGAGGTCAACTACATCGGAGAGGCGGTCGAGCAGCCGGCGGGCAGTCTGTGAGGCTGAGGGGAGGGAGGGGCGAAGAAGATGGGCGTCTGTGTGGTAGAAGGGTCACCACTCGGTCACCTGTTGTCATGACCGAGGGTTGCCTGTGCGGAGTGTAGGTGAAGCACGATGAACTTTGCGAACTGAATGACTGTTATGTGAAATGTGGCCCGGTGCTGATCATTCAGAAATCAATGCATGGCGTCACTTGCCAGTTTTATTCGTGACTCCAGCTGGATAATTCAAAGTAAAATAGCATATAGGAATGTTTAGGTATTCATGGTGTTTAGGCTTAGGTTGAGATATTACATATTGTATGTCCACGACAATAGTCCTATATTTCTATTGGTCTTAACGCGTTGCTACCTGCTAGAATTGGTTGTTGTAAATGCTGGCCGATAATTGTTGTGTTTTTGTTGAAGAACTTAGAATAATAAATATTTAGTAATGATCTCCTTAAAACGCATCTGTTTTTTTTATCAACTAGTGTTTTTTTAATGGTACCAATTAAGAACCAGCTAGGTATCTAGCTCTAGTTACGTAGCTATGGAAACTGGTGTGTAAGCTAAATCGTATAGATTAAAGCATTTTTATCGTCGTTCGTGAGAAAAAGGCGAATGGAAGTTGAAATTAACATTTATTGAGCAAAGATGGGCCTTGTAAGTTTATTGTGAAATTATCTTTTATTTGCGAAAATATAGTGTTATCTCAGAATTACTGAAAAAACAGTATTTTCGGTTCAATTGACATCTTCTTAAGCACATTATCGTATGACATTGACTAATTTATAAGAAAAAATATTATTATGACGTGCCTATTAACACGCGCAGTGGAAGCCGGAAGGGGGGGGGGGCGGATTTCGCCCACCCCTCCTGTTTTTCGCCAATAACTCGCGCCGCAAGCATAATATCAATGTGAAATTTCGGCTACCTGCCCAGAATTGAATTGCGGATCTTCTCGTGCAAGAAGTAAAAAAAAATCGGTTCACAACTTTTCTAGTAATAGCAGTGTAAAGTCAAACATCCTGCCGCCGCGGCGGCGCGGCGGCGCGGCGGCCGGCGCTAGCCGTTACGCGCCGCCTGAATTGTAGACTGTGCCGGGGCGGGACGGTTCCGTCTTTACATCGCGCTCCTTACCGCTCATTAGATTAGATTCTCGTCAAATTTGGTAAGAAGACTGAAAAATGTACAGGCAATCATATGGTTAAAGAATTTTGAAAATCGGCCGGTAACAACTTGAGTTATGAGTGTGTAAACACAAAATTGTGATTGCCGCGTTTCCGCGTCGGCCGATCCCGCTTCAGCCGGCGACATCTTACCCTGAGCAGGCTTCTAACTGCCATATTTATTGTTGGATTAACTAGAAATTCGCTATACATACTCACAAATGTTTGTTCTTTCGTATAGTGAAAGATTAAAGAAAATCGGCCGGTAACTTTTTGAGTTATCGGCGCGTAAACGCAAAAAAGTCGCTAATATGGCAGATTTGACCACATTTGACCTCATTTGACCTTGAAGATATTGACCTAGGGTCATGAAATTCACACACAACAGAGTTCCCCATAGCCCCCACCTACCCTCCAAATTTCGTCTTTCTAGCTCCAGTGGGAGCTGAGATCTTATGGGGGGGGGCGACATCCGCCCCCCCTTCCACTGGGCGTAGTAATCGCAACCCTTCCACTGCGCGTGTTAATAATAGAATTCTCATCACGATATTTTATTGAAGACACTGAACAAGTGAACACGCCTAGTGGAAACAATGAACATTGAAATAACCATCAAACATAAACTATTTTATCCGTAGATCATTTTACTTTATTGAAATAGACACTTGTCTCGGGACTCGGGTCACCGACGAAGTAATAACTGACAGGAGGGATCATGACCCCAACTACCTAACTGACGGAAGAGGGATCATGACCCCGACTCACCGCTATCTTGTTCGGTGGCACCGGAACCGACCGCACCGTCACCATTGCCGCGTGCGCGCCACAATGGTCTCACCGACACGGCGCGCGTCACAATGGTCTCATCTGCGCAGCCGCTGTGACCGTCTTAACGGCGCGTTCACGTGTGGGCGCGCCGAGTTCGCGAAATGGCAGATAACTGCAGGGTGCGAGCCTCGCGGTGATGAAAAGCGAGAGGTCAAAATCCTTCCAATAGGCTGTCTCATACCTGAGACGCTTCGAGACGCAATTTGTGAGACTTAAATAGTTCGGCACTCGATAAGTCACCTATATGAGCGCCCATGTTTTTTTCCGGCTTCAGCGAACTTTTTCCAGAGGTGAAGACTGAAGAGAGGACATGCAGGATGATATTTGAAATGCTGTTACGTCTCCAACCAAAGCAGAAACATAATAATTATAAGTTATTATGTTATTAATTCTAAGTTAGGTATTAGGTGACTGTTAAAAGCGGGAAGAGCGTCCACCGAGGTATGGAATGTGGCACACTTCAATACCGTCAATAATTTTAGGGCTTTGCTTTTATGTATGCTCACTTTTCGGATTATTCTCTGGGATAATAATATCTAACTCACAAGTCCATATATTTCGGATGATATTGCTCACCCTTGGTCACTGGACAAATAAAAACAATTACATGTATAATTACATTTTTATTTTGTCCAGTGACCAAGGGTGAGCAATATCATCCGAAATATATGGACTTGTGAGTTAGATATTATTATCCCAGAGAATAATCCGAAAAGTGAGCATACATAACTAATTTCCTGGGAAAAATGACTTTAACCCTCGCATGTGTAGGGGGGGTCGGATGGACCCCCCATGGTTTTTCGCGAATAACTCGCGTAAAAAGCGGCCGATCGCGACGAAACTTTCAGTACCCTCACATTGATCAATTTTACACCTACCCTGAAAATTTCATGACCCTGGCCCAAATGACCTTTGACCTGTGACCTCTTTTCCGAGACCATGTTTGGCCGGAATCGCGATTCGGCGTACGTCGGCTCGCATTAGCCGCGCGTTTGCAAGCTTTTCGTGGTTTCAAACGTTCAAACATGTGATATGATGTTGCTCCCATGCATTAGGGTGGGTGTCAAGGTCACCTGAAGGTCAGGTCAGGTCATTGACCTTTGGTGACCTCGGGTGACCTCGGTTCACTTTTTCGAGTTTTACATGTTTCTAGGCTAGTTTTTGGAGCTGAATTCGAATTTAGCAACCATTTGAACATTTACGAAGTAGTTTTGGTGCCTTCGTAACATGTTACGAAGCTGTCAGAGGCGGTTGTCACGTACTACGAATACCCGTCACGACGCCTACTGGTTGACCTGACCTGACCTGACCCGACCTGGTCTAAATGCTCAAAGACATCATCTGTGATTAAAACTAACACGATATTCGTGATCAGCACCCCGAAAAACCCCTTAGCAGCCACACTTTACGACTTTCTAATAGGTCCCGATTTTCCCGACTTTGGGGTCATTGACCTGACCTGGAAGGTCAACCAATGACCTAGGACCTTAAAATTGGGTATCATCGGCTTCCTCTCGTCACGGGCAACACGCTCGTTTTTTCCGCGAAGCTCTAGCTCGATCAGGGGCCAAACGGCAAGGGGGGGGGGGGTCCAACCGACCCCCCCCTACACATTAGAAGCTGGAAAACGCCGCACACATGCGAGGGTTAAAACAACGGCTTTGCTTTTATCAAGACTTACTATGTATGTAGGCATGCATGGTGTGCACAGGAATAACTTAGGCCCACATATGTTGTCACAAACACTGCGCCATACTGTGAAGCCACCCACTCATGCATGTCTGAATACCTAAGAAATCAATTTCGCAGAATACACACATTAGACAAACGATTTCCCCAATCACGAAATCATTTTTAGTGTCACATTCTCCCGCGACCACCCTGAAGCCGTAAGAGCAATGGACTGTGGAAACCATCGAGCCATGCAGAAAAGTAGTGGCTGTTCGGACTTGTCTAGCAGCCTGCGGCTGCTGCTCACCGTCAGCAGGAAAGCGTGACAAATCAAATGGAACGTTTCGGGCTAGAATGATGAGTATGTGCAATGAAACGACTTTCAAACGACCACACTGGCAGCTGGAACAATTGAAGACCACAAGGGTACAAAACGGCGTTTCTTGACCTTAACAACTGCATGCACTGTATCCGATAGATGCTCTATGTTTACCTAACATAACGTTGCTAACATAACGTTACCTACATAATATTGCTGCCTTTTGTTCTTTTATATCAATCGAGAGTAAAAGCAAATAGAAACATGTGAAGGAAGCAAAAACCACTATAAGCCATAAGAACCACTATAAGCCATTTGTTGTAAATGCGTGTGCCATTTTTCAGTGTCTGTAGAGTGATTTAAAAACATGGGATTTATGCCAGTTTGATTTGACATACGCAGCGATCTTTTATTGGTTCCACTCCAATGATCGATTTCACAAGCCTTCCAATGTCATGCATACAAATCGCCCGCAAAGACTAACTCCGGGAGGCGGGAGCACGTTGCAACTTTTGCAAGACTGGTAAGACCATATATTCTTCGTAGCTGGAATTGGTTGTACTGATTGCATCTAACCACGGAGTCGCACGAACCGTTCCAACATTTCGCTAGTCACCGATATTTGGTCGTGTGCCAGAAGAATCACTCTTGAACCATCCTTCTTTATCGATGCAGCAGACCCACCGATTAGCTAACCTTGACCGCACCTCCTTCCCGCCCAGACACTCGTCCTCCCCCTCCACCGTTGCCGGGTCACGGTCAGACCTGCTCGGTGACCTGCCGGGGTCACTGACCGACCGTCACCTCCGCCGGAGCTCAGCTGCCCGAATCGGCAGCGGATCCGGCGGCTGGCGGCGGCGGCGGCGGCGGCGGCGGCAGTGGCGGCCCGGTCGGCGCTGAAGGTGCTCCCTCTGAGACCGCGGCCGATCTCCCGTCGTGGGAGAAGAGTGCGTCAGTGGCAGAACGGCGGTCGGCAGAGAGCGGCCGGAGTGAGAGTGTGTGAGAGAGACGAGTGACCAGAGCCCATGGAGCCCCGCTGGTCGGCGCTGGTGGCCGTCACCACCGCCCTGCTGCTCGGTCCAGTAGCTCACAGCGGCGTAAGTTACCACGTGTTTGGAAATGCGCCAGTGTAGTGCGGTTTGACAAAATTCACCCAGCACACGCCTAATTTCTTCCAGTGCGGAGTGAAGGGCTGGCCTCCCAGGTGTGAGTTTTCGCCGCAGGCATCTCATAAATGTGATGCGAGAACATTTGCGAAGATTGTCGCCACCAATACTTTCGCTCAGTCTGATGATGTAATTATAAGCCTGGTGTGGTTATTAATGTCAAAATATGTGAGCCAAGCTGTTATATTATGCAACAATTGCACATCTTGAGACATTTCTTGGTTCCGGGTTTCAAAATTGCTGAGAAAACCACGGCACTTGTCATTCTGTTTTATTAATCTGTTAGTCTGTTATACAACATACGTAACGTACCTACAGTGTCTATGCCTACTGTCCAGTGCTCATAGCGTAGGAACTAGGAATGGTGTAACTGGTCACAATTCACAATTGCTATTAACCCGGTCGGGCCCGGGAGTAATCCCAACCACCGCAGCCCGGGGGGGGGGGGTGCTCCCCCGTCTAACTCCATAAATAAGGAAGCTACGGAAACAAAACGGTACCAAACGAAAGGTCCTTACAACACATTTCTAAAGCACCTAAAATTTTTGACCTCAAGTCAATTTTCGAGGTCAGAGGTCAAGGTCAAAGGCAAAAACCGGCACATGTGTAGTGATATCAAAATAAGCGTTTTAGAGGACGGCAGGACGCAAAAAACCGGCAACATTGGTTGTCAAACGAAAGAAGAGAATCTGAGAATTCCAAAAATGTGCATAAAATCAAAGGTCAACCTCAAGGACATGCTAAAAATCAACCTTAAACTTTGCACTTTTTCGAACATCTTGCGTGTTGAATTCCAAGATGTTTTGAAATGTTTTGAGGCTTATCAGGTCCCTATTCGTGGTTTATCTTACGATATGAGGCTGCTCGAAGGTCAAGGTCATAGAAGAGTACCCTTGATAGTTGATAGAGGCTATTACACTGATTCAAGCTAGTAATAACTAATAATAATTCAGACAATTTAGCCATCCGGAGGCTCTAAATGAAAGATTAGATGAAAATAGATGCCAGATTCGTGATCAGCGGCTACGAATCCGCCATAAACGACCTTTTATGTGTCAAGGCCAATCAAAGGTCATTCGAGGCCATATGTGGTCAACATAAAACTTGGCCTTTTCCAAACAAATATATATCATTCGAGGCGGTTTGACAAGTTGAATGCGTTTGTACCACTGCCGTAGCTCTAGGGCCATTTTTGCTGAAGTTATTTGCGAAAAACTAAAACCACAGGTCGGGTCGTTGACTTGACCTCTGACCTCAGGTCACTAAAACTGTTTACTTTTGTCGAGGTTAAACGCTACACAACCGTACTCGTAATCTGTCTTTATCTCTAAAACTCTATTTTTTTTTTTTAAGGTAGTGTGCCAGCTTTCCTGGACCGTATGGAGTTAATGGCCCAGATAAGGAGAACCGGATTTTTAGAACTTATCCATACCTTCAAAACTCATGGAAACGTCTTAATTCTTAAAATTTTGAGTACCCCAGTGCGAAATTCGCCCCGACGGGTTGTCGGTCGTACCCCAACCACATTTCACACCACTATGAACAATAAATGCACACACTAAAATCGCTATTACCGATAGGCTCATCCAATCAAGTTTCGATAAACCCGTTCATCATCATCTCCTGCGGTTTCGAACACGCCTGTTAGGTGGTGCGGTAGACCGCGCCCAAAGCCAGGGCCCCGGTAATGTGAGGTAGCCGAGTCGGGGCAGCGTGCGCTGACCCAAGCCGAGGCCGCGCGTCCTCCCGGTGTCATGTGATAGCCCGGGGCTGCCCGTGGGGATGCGGTAGACCGCGCCCAAAGCCGCGGCCCCGGCTTGGGTCAGCGCACGCTGCCCCGACTCGGCTACCTCACGTTACCGGGGCCCTGGCTTTGGGCGCGGTGGTGGTGCGTCGGGCCGCGCACTCTGACTTCGGCCAAGAAAAATGCGTCAGCTGATCATTGTCATTTCTGCCACTTTCATGTGGTGAGATGGGGTCAAACCTTTAGAGACGGCTGTTTCATATCAATTATTATACATAAAATAATATTTCCAACCATAAATTAATGTTCGACAGCCAAATTAAAGAAACAATACCAATACAGGCTTACAGTTTAAATTCGACATTGTGTTGTCTACGATTAGACAGCTGATAACTCATTCCCGTACGACGTACGTCGTAACTCTATATTGACCTTTGCTTATTGTCACATGTGCGCCGCATTCGTTATTGTTGCCGACGCCTGTTTGCAGGTCAGCCCACTACAGTTGTTATACATATCGAAAAACCGAAAAACTTTTAGGCGAAAAAAAAACACTATTTTAGGCCCTTTTTTGCGATATAGGTAAAAACAGAAGCTTCTTATCCTAGGAAAAATAAAATGGGAAATCATTCAAAGGTGGCACACTACCTTTAAAGCAGCTATTTGAAGTTCGTGTCTGTGACGCCGAAGTTTGCCGTGCAGGGGTCTAGAAAAATCGACACTGTGACGTCATCAAGGTACAGGAGCTAGGTCCAATTTTTTTCACCTCAGAAGATGTCAAATTGATGGGAGAAAAGGTTATGAAAGTTTCTGGTAGACTGTAACTTGAATTGAGCTTAGCGGCACAGCCTATCCGCACCGCATTACACTGGCATGCGCCAGATGAATCATCCCCCCCCCCCCGGTTTTATGATTGGTAGTCGGTCCTTCCGAGAAAAGCTGGTAAATTTGGATGTTCCTGGAATTAGATGACTATGGCTGTGGGGATGGGGGTCCAATACATTATCGGTCCCCCGGCCGAAGAGCTTCGGAGGGGCTCAGACCCCGAGCGTAAAAAGCGCACCGAACCCTGGACGACCGCCTTTGCACGGTATAGCGAACTGATATAGGTGGTTCGTCCTTTTAAACAATTCTAACTCGACCGAATTTGAGAACAATCCACTCTGCCGTTTTTGGAAATGTAGAAGCGACATTTGCACGAAGCGTCCATGGAAAGTAAGACCAACACAAATATGGGTCCATCTGAGATTCAGCTTCACGTGTGGGCTCAGAAAATCGACCCATTGCGTGCAATTCCACTCGATGCATCTGCATGAGACCAGCGTTGATATAAATTGCAAACGCCGTAGCATTATTCATTTACATATGCTCTACTTCCATTTCGTTGGGATTCTTCCACTGGAAGGCGAAACTTCCCATTAACCCTCGCCCTGGCAGGGCATTTTTCATAACACGGCCTGGCAGGGGGGGGGGGGGGTCGATGCGACCCCCCCTCGCGATTGGCTCCTATGGCACCTAGAAACACCAAATTTGGTAGGTAGGTTGGCCCCCTGGAGTTCTCGCCCCTGTCCAAATTTGGTTGCTCTAGGTCAATATTTAGGGGGTTTTGGGGGTATAAATGTAAAAATTTCGCTAAAAACGGGTCATTTTTTTCGCATATACCTTTTGATCTAATTAAGATAGAGCAAAAAGAAAAGCACCAGTGAACTCAGCACGTCAAGGCGCGTCGAATGATATACTTTTTAGCTTGCGTAAGTGTACTTAAAGTTTTTTCTTAATTTTTAAGTAAACTTTAATTAATTAATTAAGTTCAAGTTATCAAATTGCATCATATCGCATATCATTCGATTCGGCTGATCACAAGGAACACAATGACACCATTTTTTAAGCTCTAGCGTCATTATGTGCCAAGTTATTGGCAAAAACGTTATTTGACCTCAGTTGACCTCATTTGACCTGACCCATGGATAAGTACACCAAACAAAGAAGCACCAAGTGACCTGCTGTTAAGTACTGTGGTTTCAAAGCACAAAAGTGATAGAACTAAACGGATATCTCCAGTATTTTCCAAATTTAGTATTTTCCCATAGGCTTAACATTACGAGGTAATGACCTCTGGCTCTAACTGACCTCAGGTCAGTGACTTCAAAAAACCCGAACTATATGTTATACAGCTCGGTGAACTTAGTACATCCTGAAAGTTTGAAGGAAATCAGTCCAAAACTGTGAGTTGGACAGGTGCAAAAAGAAAGTTGAAACTTGACCATGACCTTGCACCGGTTTTTCTGACCTGGTGACCTGACCCAAGATCACCCGGACCTAAAATTTTCAGTTCATATGTAAGAAGGTTGCCCCATAGGCTGTGCCAAATTTGGCGGCGCTGCGCGCCGCCGTTTTTACGCTATCTTCGAAAAACCTTAGGGGGGGTCGCATCGACCCCCCCCTTGCCAGGGCGAGGGTTAAGTTCTTACACTAACAGGTGAAAAGTGTTTCCGAACCCGTGTAACCCCCTTCCGTTCATTTTAGTGACATCACAACACACATTTTTCAAAAAATATTTTCTGTAAAAACTTTTCACTCAAAATTAGCACAACGTTGATTTTGCCTGCATCGTGCTCCTTTCCTCTGGATACGTTGAGTGAACTATAATTTGAACTTGAAAGGTCAATGGTCATTTTAAAAGTTTGACTGAATTTGAATTTTGAGGTCATGGGCATGACCTGATCGAAAAGGTCATGTTGCAGTCAGATCAGTCGATCCGCAATGCCGAGCTGAACACATCTAAGGTATTTTAATCGCTCTAGCACGCCTCTTTTAAAAATATTGTCAACAGGCTATTGGAGATCTTATGACCTAAGATGACCTCAGGGGCATAAATACAGGGGTCATGACCGGCGGCCCACGGGTGTAATTTTCCGATTCGGTGTGGCATGTTTACCTGGTAGCCGATGTTTGAGAGTGATAGTATGACTTTTGTCCAAAACAGGCTCATTTCAATGCTCTATTGATTTATAATGGAGAGGTCGCAAAGTTGACCTGACCTTAGGTCACCCATATCAAAATTCCGAGATAAACAGTTCATACATACTGTCTTATCAATTGCTGAAATCTTCAAAGCGATCGTTCCGTCGGTGTAGCTATGGTGAGCATTATAAAGGTAAGGTCACTCGATGCGACCTGGTGACCTGACCTTGAACGACCTAGGTCTGAAATGTTCACATGCGCATGAAAAGGTGTATGAAAAAGTGTGCAAAGAACAGTGGCGCACCGCAGGGGGTGTTCAACCACCCCATCCCCTCCCCCCACATTCGGGTCGGCGCCGGGCGCGGCTTACCTGCGATCTCCCTCACATCGTCTGTTCCCAGGTAAACTCAGCCGGCCAGCTGCAGATCAGGCTCGTCTCCTTGACAGACCTCGACACTCCGGCTGCCAGCCGAGGGCGCTGTTGTCAGTCACCAAACAGCATAGATGACGCCACCTGCGACCAGCCCTGCCGCACAGTGGTTCGCCTCTGCGCCGCTGCAAGTGGGGCTGGCATCTCACAGCGGCCCTCTGTGCGCTTTTCGCGCATCTCCGCCCTCCGATCCGGGCGAGGGCGTCGCTCGCCCGTGGCTGTTTCTCAGCAATACACCGATACCGCTGTGCCGAGTGGCCTGCCACCTGTCGGCGAAGAGGACGAACTACTACCGGTGGAGCATCGATCCGCCCAGCAAGAGGAGCCGTCCGGTGGCACCTCCATCCAGGTGATCCACCACCTCATTTCCTCTGCTGACGACGAGTCCCAGGAGTCGACCGAGTCCATTTCACCCAGTGAGGACTCTGTGGCTCGTCCACGACCTCGCGATGAGTCCCCACGGCCTCGGGAAGAGTCCGGCGGGGTCGGAGAGTCCGCCGAGTCCGCCGGCGCTCCTGGGACGGCCACCAACACCACTGGTGACACCACCAGCAGCGGGCCACCTCTCCCGGGCTCGGCCCTGGTCGGCCGGCCCCAGGAGCCTCCTGTCGATCAGCACGACATTGGTCTGGTATTTGTCGAAGACGACGACCTCATCCATCTGTACTTCCAGCCCAAACGGACCCGCACGCGCCGGAGGGTGGGCCGGCCAGGAGTCAGGACCGTCGCCAGGGATGGCGAGCTGCCCATCGGTACCATCGAGCGGTCTGGACGACAGGCCCGGGCGGGACTGACAGATACCGTCGGAGACTCACACTTTGACGGTCCTGACGACACTGCTGACAGGGTCGATGGCTCGGAGGATTCCATTGAGCTAGGCGAGGGCTCTGGCTCAGAGGAGTCCGAACAGAGTCCGACGGAGGAATCAGAGGAGGGTCCGGCGCTAGAGGTGGCCCACTCCCGGCGCACAGGGGACGTAGGGACTCCGCGCAGGACCTCCGAATGTCCCCTAGGCACCGCGTTTGTGACCGTATCAGCTGATGATGCGGAGACCCTGCCACCGATCAGCCTCCCGTTCGACACACCCTGGCCAGTAAGTGATGTCAAACTGTCATACGGCCGGAGTGGCGTCATATTGACCGGTGAGTGACGTCATACTGACTAGTGAGTGACATCACCATGGCCTGTGAGTGACGTCACCCTGGCCGGTGAGTGAGTTTGGCAAATAGCATTCACGACTACCGAGGGCTGAGGAATGGTGTTGACGTTGCATTTATAGGGTTCACCATCGTGTGATCAATAGGTAACTACTCGCGTTCCGTTTGTCATCGTGACATTAAATGCCATATGTTGCTCATTTTTTTCGAAACGATAATCATCAGATGGCTGATTTCCGTTCTTGATGCAGGGACGGTTGAGGTTAGCGGTCGAAGTTTGGAGTGACTTCACCGGCGACCTGGATCTGCCCGTCACCGACACCAGCCATCTGAGTCTCGGTGAGCAAGCGTCGGTGGAACCGTCCACCTATAAGCGGAACTTCACACGGTCTCCAACGAGGTTTGAACTTTGAAGGCGTGTTTCTAAACGCAAATGATGGCCCTCAATAGAAAGAGCTAAAAATAGGTACTGCACAAATACCTATCCGGTATTACAATTATCCAAAGCAACATTAAAAGCATAATAAGATTAAAAAGTTACGTCCCCCTTCGCAATGAGCCGGTCATCACATAGCCCCGTGGACTCTTTCACACCGTTCTTTATGCTGGTGAAATAACAATCCTGCAGCTACACCAATGCACCCAATATGATCCGGCACTGGCCATTTCGCCGGCAGCGCGTTTGGCCGGCCGGGCGACTCTGCGGACAGCGCTGAAGCCCGGAGCGTGGTCCAGTGAGGTCATCACTGCGGGCACTTCCCAACTGGAGGTGCAGACTCGCGTACTCTGCAGTCCCGGCTCCGACCGAGAGCACTGCGCCACGGTACGTCGGCGAACGGCTGTTCAATCAGCGGGCCACGGGCCAAACATCAGCTGAACGATGTCGACTTTATAGGGCTGTCACATTTAGGCTTGCGGTGCTCATTCAGCTCATCCGCTTTATCATATTTCCCACAAGAGTGACAGATTAAAATGCTGCCTTTAATCAATGAGTGCAACAAATCAGTGGTCTAAAAGAGGTTTGACAGCTTGGCGATGTCCCTCAGGTCAGGAGTGTGACAGGTCAGTGTCTCTCCCACCCTCCCTTCTTCCTTCCCTCAGGAGTGTGACAGGTCAGTCACGGTGTCGTCCCTCCCCAGCGGTATGACAGGTCAATGACGTCCCTCCCTCCCTCAGAAGTAAGACAGGCCAGTGTTGTCCCTCCTTCCCTCAGGAGTGTGACAGGTCAGTCACAGTGTCGCCCCTCCCCCAGCAGTGTGGCAGGTCAATGACGTCCCTCCCCCAGGAGTGTGACAGGTCAGTGTCGCCCCTCCCTCAGAAGTGTGACAGGTCAGTGTCGTCCCTCCCTCAGCAGTGTGACAGGGCGGTCGGCAGCGGCGGCCACTGGCGCTGTCTGGAGGACGGCTCAGCAGTCTGTAAGGACGGGTGGCAGGGAACGCACTGTGACCGGCCCGTCTGTCTGTCCGGCTGCAGCCCTACAACCGGCTACTGCCGGGTGCCCGGCGAGTGCCTCTGCAAAGTCGGTGAGGACCGAGGCGCCGGAGCACCAAGTCCAAAGACCAAACGTCTTGAATGTCTAAAGATAACTGATATCTGTAGTTAGGATTTCAAATGACCTTTTCCTCGATAATTAATTGAAAATGCAATAAAAAGCAAATATTATACTGTTTGACAAATTTTCGAGCAACAGTTCATTCTCAAGCCACATGAAACAATTGACAATTGTTTAACGCTTGTCTAACGTCAATTGTCTAGCAAACAATTGTTTAACGTCGTAACGCCTATAGCATTACGACGAGAGTACTTTTTTGCATTTAATTTGGCGACTGTTGTGTCGACATTTTATCAGCGAGTGCTGATCGATCACCTCTCTCCCGGTTCACCACTGTGCTGACCTGACAGCGTTTCTCTCAGTTTACCACTGTGCTGACCGTGTTTTCCTTACTTTACATCTGTGCTGACTATTTTTTCATCACTTTGCCCCTGTGCTGAACTGCTGACCGTGTTCCCCCCGGGTTACTCTTGGGATGACTGTATCTCTCCGAAGGTACAGTAGGTTACAACTTGATCGATATGCACTCTTTATCCACCGGTTATCTAGGTCTCAGCCATGGTAGCAGCCTGCCTGGTGCCGGTAGACTGTGCCGCTTAACACGGGTGTTAAGCGGCACAGCCTATCCAATATCCCACCGTATGACACCGGCCCGGGTCGCTCTGTGAATCCGTTCAATGCTTTGGTTTTGTGACTGCAGCATAACATGCATAAAGTTTGTTTGAATGCCACAAGTCTAAGTCATCGAAGGCCAGCGACTATATAAGTCAATTATTATGTTTGTGGGAGAGTAGGTATGCCACTCGTCTAAGCTCAGCTTGCTAGCCCGCGCCGGGCCGGGGGTGTTTGAACACCCCCCTGCGGTTTTTCGCAGATATCTCAAAAATGGCGGCGCTCCGCGCCGCCGTTTTAGGCACACCTGTTCGTGCATCTTTTCCGCACATGTTGTGAAAATTTCAGACTCTGGTCGCCTTAGGTCAGGTCACCAGGTCACGCCAAGTGACCTCACCTCAGAAAAAATAAGAATGCTCGTCATAGCTACACCGATTGATCGATTGCCTTGAAACTTTCAGCGATTGATGAGAGCAATAATATCAATAAAATGTAAATCTCGGAATTTTGATATCGGTGACCTAAGGTCAGGTCAATTTTGCGGCCTGTCCATAATAAGTCAATGGGAGAAAATTGAGAAGCGTCTGTTTTGCACGAACGCTATTCTAGACACTCTCAAACATCGAGATATAGGTACGATTGACACACTGAAGTCTGAACCAGAAAATGGCAACTGTGACCCCTCGTTATGTCCCCGAGGTCATCTCAGGTCACGAACAGAAGCTACAGTTTTTCGCTAATAACTTCTGATAGAGAGGTGCTAGAGCGCTGAAAAACGCCTTAGATGTGTTTGGCTCGACGTTGCGGATCGACTGATATGCAACATGACCTTTTCCGGTCAGGTCATGACCTTGGCCTGGGTCAAATTTTCAAATTGACCTTTCAAGGTCAAATTATTGTTCATTCGACGCGTCTCGACGAGAGGAACACGATTCTGGCAAAAGTAACGTCATGGCTCTTTTGAGTCAAAAGTTATTGCCGAAAAAAACGCTTTTCGTAAAAACGGCTATTTTTGGAGTTTTTGCCCTCTGGAGGCTAAACCGTTGACCTGAGGTCAAATCTGAGAACATTACCCAGAAAGGTCTGTAAAAGGGCTATCGAATGCGCTTTTCCGCGGCGCTGTAGCTCTATCGGTTCCCGAGATAGCCGTAGGCAGTTTTCAACATGTTGAAATAGTCAACATTTTACCTTTGGTGACCTCTGGTGACCCGACCTTTGACCTGACCCAAAAAATGACTGAAGTGTTTTCGTCCTTATTTTGGGCGTTCTTTCGAGTGCCGCTTACCGCGTGTCGCTACGTGGCCCAGAAGCCGAGTTAGAAGGGGGGGGGGGTGTTCAGACACCCCCCCGGCCCGGCGCGGAATCTTAGAGCACCGGCCCGGCGCGGGCTAGTCTCTTGACCCCACCGGTATTTAACTGGCCCGGTTTGAGCCACATTGGGCGCTGACCATTTTCCTTATAGTTGGATAATCCACATAATTGTCGTTGTTGGTTGCGGACTGTGGTTTTCTGTGCATCGTATTTAAAAAGAAAGGAGCGCATTTGCTGAGCGGCGTAATCGGTGCAAAGCTACAAGCGACCGCACACAGACTGTGCCGCTTATCACTGAAGTCAAGCGGCACAGTCTACCGGCGCAGCTGCTGCCAGTGCTGAGGCCTAGATAACCGGTGGATAAGAGTCCCTATCGATCGGTCTGTAACCAAGTGCACCACTGTGCTGACTGTGTGTTCCCCGACAGGGTACCACGGCGAACTGTGCGACCAGTGTGTGCCCCTGCCCGGCTGCAGAAACGGCTTCTGCAGGCGCAGCTTCGAATGTCGCTGCAAAGACGGCTGGACAGGACTCTTCTGCGACAAACGTACGTGTAACAGGTTAATTAACGCAGTGCTGACCCTGTCCTATTTACACTAGGATCCGCAACGAACATGCCGCTTATTCTATGTATTTCAGTCTGAATGAGACGACACAACGGCATAAAGCTCTCGTCTGTGATCCCTTAACCCTATTCCTGGCGGGGGGGGGGGCCTCAGGAGCCCCCCTGAGGTTTTTTGGTTATTTCTCCCAAACGCGTTGAGCTAGGAAGCTCAAATTTTCTGACTTTTCCTAAAAGGCTTCTACGCAACATGTCTGAAAATTTTGAGTTGATCTGACCTCAGGTCAGGTCACCAGAGGCGGTTTGGTGACCCTACCTCAGAAAAGTTTGCAATCACGCCAGAGCTAGAGTTTTTGACCGATCAATTTCTTCTCTTCAGGCTTTAGTTAGGGTACCAGTATGTGCAATTTGTATATCTCGGAATTTTGATATCGGTGACCTAAGGTCAGGTCAGTTTCGCGACCTCCCCATTATAAGTCAATGGGGGAAAAATCAACTCCCTGTTTTTACCACTAAAACGGGTCGGAATGGCCCCATATACCATACATAACTTCATATACGATCAACCTTCACTACCTTGAGGTCTATTTTGCTGTTGGGCAGCTGTGAGGTCATGTGACGTCATCAAAGGTCACCAAAGGTTTTTGGCCAATAACTCCGTACACGAACAAGATACAGACGCGTGGATGGTCTCATTGTGTTCAGCTCGTCAAGACGCATCGAATGATATACATGATGACCTCGAGGTCACGTGACCTGAGGTCAACCTTTGACCTTGACCTTGCGAGGTCAACATATATATATCATTCGATGCGGATTGACGAGAGGATCACGATGATGCCCTTAGTTTGTTCCTATCTTGACTAATTCGAAAGTTATTCGAGAAAAACTCTCTCCATATCTAGCGCCGCCATTTTGACTTTTTCGACCCCTGTGACGTCATCTTTGACCTGACCTGAAAATGACCTTAGTAAAAATTGTAGATCTTGACCGTGCGTATCCGATGCCGTTTACCGTTTGTCGCTATCTTGCTTCGTTCTCGAGATCTCAGGGGGGGGCCGAATCGGCCCCCCCCCCGCCAGTTTCTTGTCCCGGCGGAGCCCGCCAGGAATAGGGTTAACCCACTGTTACATGGCTGCTATATAGAACGATTAAACGAAATTCCATCAACGGCTAGTCTTCGGATCTCGATGCAGAAATAGCGCTGCAGCCCCACCACACTGTTCAGACGGCCTTAAGGGAGCCGTGTGAGTGGCTAGCTTTCACAGGTCGGTAGCTAGCCGTGGCTGGTCGCCCGCTAGCCGTCACCGGTCGGTGTAGCCATAGCCGACACTCAGGTCAGTAACCATCGCCGGTCGGTGGCTAGCCGTCTCCAGTCGGTGGCTAGCTGTCTCCGGTCGGTAGCTAGCTGTCGCCGGTCGGCAGCTAGCCGTCGTCACAGGTGACAGCGGCCGGAGTGGTGTCGGCCGGACAGCCGTCCGTATGGAACGTCTCCGTGCCCAGCGGACACTGCCAAAGGTGCTGCTCGTCCCCCTGACAGTCGAAGGAGAGCCCGCGCGCGTAGCCCCGCTCCACCGAGCCAATCAGCGGTCCGTCGACGCCGGCGACGCTGCTATGGAAGCCCAGCGAGCGGCAGGCCACGGCCGCGTCGGCGGCGCTCCAGGCGCTGCGGTCACACAGCTGGTGCCACTGGCCGTAGCCCTTGATGCGCCACTGTAGTCGCCCGCGGCGGCAGCCGGCGTCGCCGACCAGCCGGAACTGGCGGCCTTGCTCCACGGTGATCACCTCGCAGATGGGGTACTCGGGCAGCCGGCGGCGCAGGTCAGCCACCTGACCGGCCAGCTCCTTCAGCAGGCTCTCCTGCTGCCGCAGTCGGCTGTCGACGGCCGCCAGCAGATTCAGCACGGCGAACACCCGAGGCTCCGGCTCGAACGTCTCTAGTTCTGCTGGAGAGGTGGGCAGACCGGGGGCGCCGCCACCACCGGCCGCTAGCAGCGCCACAGTCAGATACAGGGTGAGCCACATGGTTGGCAAGGCACTGTCACTGTAGACCCACTCCTGATCAGTGCTGCGCCTCACTGAAGCCCCCACCCAGCTCAGCCGGACGCCGCCGACACGACACTGAACACTCTTTACCAAGATTGTCGAGTGGCACATACCAAACATAGCGTGACGCAAATAGTCCGAGCGTCACCATCTGCCAAACCCAAACTAAGCAGCAGCGAGTGGACACTGGCTGCAATGTTTGTTTAACCCTCGCCGGACCTATTGGTTTTCTACATACGCGCCGGCCGAGGGGGGGGGGGGGGGGCGGGTAAGACCCCCCCCTCGCCGTTTCGCCCCTGGTGGAGCTAGCGTGTCGCGGAAAAAACGAGCGTGTGCGCCGTTACGAGACGCAGAGATTGGTACCCGATTTTAAGGTCCTAGGTCAACCAGTGACCTCTGAGGTCAGGTCAAGTGCCCCAAGGTACGGTTCAGTTTTTGGTGAATATCTTCGCAAAAAACGGCCGCAGAGCGCCGATTTTGGCAGCATCGTGTTTGTCTCGCTCAGGCGCGTCGAACGATATACTTTTTGTCCGGGTCAGGTCAACTTGGGGTGTTGACCTCAGGTCAAGGTCAGGTCAGCACCCCCAGGTCACGAAGTTGGTCGAAAGAGGTCATGTCGCATATCATTCGATTCGGCAGGTCTTCCTGAGTCCATTGGTGGCTTTCCCGACTCGCTAGCTCAATTTGATCAAGAGTTATTGACGAAAAACTAATATGACCTTGATGACGTCATAAATGACGTCACGCAAGGTCAACATTGCAAAAGTGACGCATCTAACCTTGCAAGGAGTGCATCAAATCACGATTCTGTGTGCTTGAGATAGTTGGAGATCGTTCCCGGCGCCAGAATAGCAGTTTTCATTTTTCCCCATTGACTTATAATGGTGAGGTCACGAAAATGACCTGACCTCATATGACCTTTAGGAAAAATCCGAGATATACAAGTTGTGGGACTCATAATGGATACTAGATCCTGCAAGTTTCATTTCCCTGTGACATCTCCTCTGGCAGTGAGGGCGTTGCGAAGTTGCGACATCTGAAGACCGTGCAGAGGTTCACTTATGACGTCATAGGTCAGTGACCTGACCTGACCCAAAAATGCGGTTGGTGTCAAAAGATCCGGCTTGGATCAAAGGTCAGGTACCTATGTTAAGTTTCAGCTCTCTATCGCCAGCGTGTTCGGAGCTATCGCGAAAAAACCCTATGGGGGGGGGCGGCACCCGCCCCCCCCCCTCGGCCGGCGAGGGTTAAAACTTCTCCCGTGTTTGGACAGACAGTCCATGCAGATGCAGTCGGACAGGCTTATGCCACTAATTATCAATAGCGATAATCTGTCCAACTGAGCCCGTCGTTATGCTGAGTCCAGTGAATATGAATCGGTAAGGTCAGACGTTGTATAAATGCATGCTGAGCTTATATTGATGATGTCGCTCCCCTGTCGTTCGACTTTCATTCGACCTTATATGTCACCAGGAACATAAGTATTGCTGGCGGAACACTCATTTGACGCTACCTACAAATATTGGTAACACAAATGTGGGTAACAAATGTTGACGCTGAAAAGGTGTCGTGCATGGAGATCGGATTTGAAAATTAAGCTGTGCCTAATGGCTTATATCTGATTACTTTACTTGGTAATTTGGTAATGATTTGGTGGTGTCCGTTTCTGCTTTACAGCCATATGTGCCAAAGACTGCGATAGGGACCGGGGCTTCTGCACCAGACCAAACGAATGCAGGTAATTAGTAGCGGCGGAACACCTTCAATTACGGGGGGGGGGGGGACACCGCCGACTTTTGGTCCCATTCTTTCCATGCAACGCCCATAGGGCTAATGTTAAAATGCCAAAATCAAAGGGAGACACGGTGCCCCGGTACCCTCCCCACTCCGCCGCCTATGCAGGTGACGTCCATTCTTTGACCAGGCTCGCAAAATGTATTATTCGTATTCATCCGTATTTATTCATATCAGCCATTTCCAGTTAGGTAATGTTTATCAATAGCCGCGTGATAATTTGTGATAGGCTAATCAGGTAAGTCAAGTTAGGTGAGGTAAGTTTATGAGAGGTCCATCGTGATATGAATATTTCGTGCTTAATATCTATAATACTGTCCCCGCCACGAGCTGACAGTGACACCCCTCTTCGTGGAGGTGCCGCCCCGGCTGGCGCGGCGCGCGCTGTGACCAGTGTGTGCGGCTGCCCGGCTGTCGTCACGGTACCTGTAGCGGCCCCCTCGAGTGCCGATGTCGGCACGGATGGACGGGCTTCCTCTGCGAGCGAGGTGAGCGCCCATCGCCGCGTATCGGCACCCAACGCCGCGTATAACCGCCCAACGCCGCGTTACAGCTCTTAACGCCGCGTATAACCGCCCAACGCCGCGGATCAGCGCCCAACGATTCGCATTAGAGCCCAACGCGGACGTGGCTGTCAGCGCCCATCACCGCGTGTTAGCCCCAAACACCTCGTGTCAGCTCCTCACCTGTGCACTGTGCGCCCAACGCCTGCTATAGTGCCCTACTCGCGCGGTGACTCGTTGTTACACCGCGGTGACTCGTTGTTTTCATAGTGCCTGTGACCGTCCTAACCACATAGAGACGAGTAATAGAGCATGTGACTTGAATGTGTCGACTTACCTATGTTTTTATGGAAACATGCTTGTAGGTACAACATACGTAAGGAAGAAGTGGTCATATAGCGATGGACAACTCTAGGAAGTTATGTGACGGAAATTCCTCAACTGTTATGCGATGTGAATATTCAAACGGTGCTTATCAAGTGATCAAAAGGATCACCTAATGGCCATCTCAATATGATTGATCATTTGATCAGTCCATTGAAGTAATTATTCCTTTGTCTTTAGATGGGGCGTTTAACGTCCCCCCCCCCCGGCAAGTGGTGTTGTGGCGAAATACCCCAGCGACTGCCGGGTTCAATATGGGATTGCCGATTTGCACAGATGTAACTGAACTGCCTTTCTTTCCACCGACCGCAGCAATCTGCAGGGAGAACTGCAGCAAGCAGCACGGCTTCTGCGAACAGCCCGGTGTGTGCAGGTGAGAACATGGCCCAAGTAACGGGACAGTGGTCATGGGAATAGGTGAGGGCCTGTGACCCTTCTGACCGGTCAGTCACCCCTGCCGCTCGAGATCAGTGACCTGTGTGATCGTTGACCTCTAATGGCTGAAACAGACTCTTTCCGCGTTCAGGAAATCGCATGCGAGAGCCTATTCAAATACATTATTGTTCTTCCCGCATCAATCGCATCCGGGAGGTGCGTGCGATTGATGCGAGCGTGCTTCAATGTATTTGCATAGGCTCTCGCATGCGATTTCCTGACTGCGGAAAGAGTCTGTTTCAGGCATAAGACCCGTGACCTCTGAGACCCGTGGCCTATGTGACCCGTGACCTCTGTGACCCGTGACCTCTGTGACCCGTGACCTCTGTGACCCGTGACTCTGTGACCCATGACCTCTATGTAATAAAACCCCTGTGGCATGTGACCATTTTATGATCTACGACCTCGGTTACTCGATTACTCTGTGGCCCGTGACTTTTCTGCTACGTGACCTCCGTGACCCGTGCCTTCTCTCTCTGATATGTGACCTCTGTGACCTGTGACCTGACATCTGATGTAACCTGCGACCCGTGACCTCTGTAACCTGTTACCTCTGCTGTGACCTGTGGCCAGTGACCTCTGTGACCTATGACCTCTGTTAACCCTTGACTTTTGTGATCCGTGACCTTTGTGACCGATGACCTCTGTGACCGGCGACCTCCGTGACCTGTGACCTCTGTGACCCGCAAGCCCGGCCCGTGACCTCTGGCTCACTCAGAGGAGCTTGGCTGGCACAGAGACTTGTGTGATGTCTGTGACTATTGTGACCTGTGACCTGTTCCTGCAGGTGTGAGCTCGACTGGCACGGTGACCTGTGTGACCCCTGTGACTGCTGTGACGTGTGTGACCCCTGTGACTATTGTGACCTGACCTCCTGTCCTGTAGGTGTGAGCTCGGCTGGCACGGTGACCTGTGTGACCCCTGTGACACAGTGTGACCTGTGTGACCCCTGTGATTGCTGTGACCTGTGACCTCCTGTCCCGCAGGTGTGAGCTTGGCTGGCACGGTGATTTGTGTGACACCTGTCTGCCGTACCCGGGCTGTGTGAATGGCAACTGTACCGAGCCCTGGCAGTGTAACTGTCACAGCGGATGGACCGGCTTCCTCTGCGACAAACGTGAGAAACGTCCCCACAAGCGTGCGCATTGAATAGCCCCTTTTTAATAGCTATAAAGTAACCGGCTAGGTTATCGTCATCCTTCAATCTTCATCACCAAAATGATAGATAACATGAATCATCATAGATTCATGTTATCTATGCCAAAATAGTATTCAATAGATACTTCACTCAGGAGTGTAAATGCATCCCAAGGAACGATGGTCATGACGTAAATTACGAATATCCTCGTCAAATCGATTAAACGGTTGACGTTTTAACGGTTTACTTTTAACGGTTTACTTTTTTAACGGTTGCTTTGGCTTTTAATGCCAACATTCAAAATCCGAAACTTTTCCGCCGAAATAATCTTAACAAAAGCTTGAAGAAGACAAAAAGCTAGCTCGGTCCGTCTGTGTTGGTCTGACCCTCACCACCCCCGCTGACCGGTCGCTGCTCGTGTTACAGCCACCGAACCGTGTCCTGCCGGTACCGACCCCTGCAGGAACGGCGGTACCTGCGAGATGGTGCTGCAGGACGGCCTGCCGGTGCCGCGCTGTGTCTGCACCACCGGCTTCAGCGGCGCCACCTGCGAGCAGCGGGACCCTCCGCTGGAGTCCCCGGGTGTGCCCTCCCGCAGCACCTGGGACAGCCGCCGGGCTGCAGTAGGCAGGTGGCGCGGCGGTCGGCCGTATGTTCCGCTTCGTCCCGGCCCGGCCAGCCCGCTGTGGCCCGGTATTCAGTTGCCAGCCGTTGGACACTGAAAACACAGATCACAGGCACGGGATGTGCAGTGGCAGTTAGGGGGATGGGTGTCATTGAAGAGACGCTGGTGGCAATGGGGAGGAAGGGAAGGGAGTGTGGCGCTAATGAATAGGCGCGCTGGTCGAGGGGCGATGGTAAATATAGGGCTCAGTAATACTCAGCACCATGTCTTCACTGCTGGTCGAAGGGTCTCTTCATTTGAGACCAATAGTACACGTATAGAGGCATTTGGATGCGGATTGTGATCGGATGAAGGATGTACGAGTATGCTGAGATGAGCTAATAATATGAGCCGTAGGTGACGGGCATGGGCTGAGATTCAATTGACAAAGTCGCATTGTTGTCGTGTGCGTGGCATCACAGCATGGTACGGGTTGCATAATATGCGAAACAGGCAAGCGTAGAAGGAACGACGCATGCATTTGGGCAATTATTAGCAATGGGACTGTGGGCATGACCTGGTGCGTTTTGCGGGGCTAGCGGCAATGGAAATTGGAGTGGAATGGAATGAAATACAGCCTTGTGATTTATCTTATCTTCTCGTTCTTTCGAATGTGGGAGCATGGACCAAATTACGGCCAATCGAGTGTGGGCGGTTTGAAGTCCGGAACATGGTGTAAATTTCGCGGCACCGTCGTTTTATCGTACACCAAATGACATACAGACGAGAGAATCTCAATCAACAAGTGTTCCCTTTCAATGTTTCTGTTATTAACGTAATAGGAGACACAAACGAAATAACGATGAATAAACGCTTCGAATAAACCAAACGATGCAATGATGTAAGATAAATCAATTTATTTGTAAAATAAAATGCAGCACAACGTAGCTAGCTCCGTTACCAGGCGCCAAGTATCGGTACGTCTTTCAAGTGAGCAAATTGTAGCTACGAGTGAGCAGGTATCCGCGACAAATTTTTTCCAACATCCCTGTTCATGAGATATACGGCAAGCTGGTAGAAAGATGTAGCTGAAGGGCTCACACAGTCCGTTTACAGGCCTCAACTAGTACAGTTACAGCACCATTTTTATGGTAGCTAAGGCGAACAGCGACATAGCCATGCACGATAAAATTGCGTGAGAGTAGAAATATACGATGAAGTGACTTAGTCAGACCATGATAACTGTTAGATCGATAATGTCAGGGCGTTGAACAATGTCATTTGGATTAGATAGCTAATTAGTGAACAATGCTAATAGCGCACGTTGCTTGATATCGTCTGACCTAGTAATTGGCACCTTTCAGGTACAAACTAGCCCGGCATATGCTTCAGTTACCTACCAATGACATGAACCTCTGAGGTTCATATGGCCCGCCATTGTCCACATATGTCCCGTGCCATCTTAAAACTATCATGCACACGGGCATTATTACCACTCATGAGTGTTATACCTAAATAAGTGCGTCATGACATTCAACCGAAACTCGGTTGATCGCATGCCAGCGAAAACATTTAGAAGCTCAAATGCCCGTTCGGAGATTCCATAGCCCACTGGGCGCTCCGATTTCACCGATAAGCTGTGGAGCACAAAGCGCCGTGTCAAGCTCAGCGGACCCGGCCACTCCCAGGCCCCGTTGTTGGTGTCTGCAGTCACAGCGTGGGGTCCATGACCCGTCCCACGAACAGGGTGAGTCCAGTCCCAGCGTCGAACAGCGCGAAGAAGAACGGCCGGTCCACGACGAACGGCGGCGGCTTGGGCCCCAGCCTCCGGTAACCGATCTTGATGGCTGAAAGGAAGGGAACCAGACTGTGATGCATGTGAAGGGGGTAATTCAATAGCTTGTTACGAAGGAAGCCCGATTATCGGCATTTGGCAGAGAGAACCTGGTGATAGTACATGAAAGTACAACCTCTGAAATGGGAACCGATGAGCTGGTGGGGGAGGGAACCCTTTGGTCTTATTTGTAATAAATTTACTGTAGACTTGACTGCACAACTTTTAAGGAATAAAGGCCGTTCTGTAAGTGGTCGTGACTGTGTGATCAGTTCAGTGCAGTGATATATCTGTCACGCCCCCCCCCCCTCCCCGGCTCTGTACCCCAGTGACCACACGGCTCTGTCCCCAGAGATGATCACACAACTCTGTCCAACTGACCGGTGACCGCCGACGCCACGGTACCCTCCTCGTTGACCTCGATGACGGCCTTGTGGATGGCGTCGGTCACGTGCAGGTTGCCGCCGCGGCTGATCCGGCTCAGGTCAGCTTTGCCAGGGTCAAACAGGTCCTTCAGGCCCATCTGTGGTGGACGGTACGAGAGAATCATTGCCATGAGGGATCGCTTATTGCGTGCATACAAAAGGTAGCCAGGTGGTGACCATCGGCTGGTCCCAGTCCTTTCATTTCTAAATACCAATTTAACTTCGTCTCCATTGAGGTCACGTCTGCTGAACGAACCACAGAAAGTGTGTCGGAGACATAAGTGACATAGAGAAGCACAGGCTCAGAACGATCAACTATATAGTTCCTTCCTAATTTCGTGATTACGACTCACTGTGTGAAGGACGCGCTTCAGGTCGATCCTTTCGTCAAGTTTGAACCTGGGCATTTTGATGTTGAAGGCGCGATCGGGCTTCTTGGCTGCCTGGAACACCTCTTGAAGACTGGTTTTGGCCAGGCCCCTCTCCAGGGTGGCCATTCCATCCTTTCTGAACGGCAGAATGATCATCATGTGGATCTTGTTGCCCTGAGGACGAGATGGAATATCGCGGCGCTCAGTAAGTAATAAGTGTCCAGCCTTGAACCAGTGGCTCATGCCAGTCATCGTATAATATGGGATGCAAGTAAAATTAACAATCATTGCATATTTTGTATGTGTATAGATTAGTAGCCATGGGCCAACAGCAGAAACGAGAAGGAACTGCTCGGCTCGATTTCCAAGTAGGCCCGAAATGCATATCCTGCAGAAAGCTAGGTGTTGAATCCAGACCAGACCTTGCTGTTGTATCTATCAACAATGACTACGCCAAAACCATGCATCCCACAGTCGGCAGCATCTACATCTGAGAACCGCATGACATCACCAACACCATCGCGTCACCTCTACATGAGAGCGGGTCCGAAAGCGTGGGTCATATTGCATGTTTTAAGGTAACCGGAGGACCGCTCGAGCTGTATCAACACCTACCCAGACAGGGATGATGCAAGCTTGCATTCCCCGCTTGCAGAGAAGGCTTCAACGATAGCTCTGAAAGTTCTGAACAGTAACTAGAAGGATACAGGCTCTCCTGCGAAGGACAGCAGGGCGATGTGGGAGCATCAACTGATAAGGCATTAAGAGGACTTTGTAGGACGATAAGTACTTAACCTCCTTGTAAGGAAGACGCTGAGCTAAGCATTCTTGAAGGGCAGCAGGATGGGACGAGTATCCCATTTTGGGGGGAGGGGGGTAACAGGAGGGTGCAAAGCTCACCCACCTTGAAAGGCAGCAGGGTGGGACACTGACAGGTACCTACTCACTTTGTTAGGGATACCAGGAGGGTGCTAGGTTGACCCACCTTGTAGGGCAGCAGGAGGACGCGGGCCTTCAGCTTGGGCAGCCGCCCGACGGGGAACGGCTGCTTGGTCTGCATCATCTGCACGGCCCGATCGCCGTCCGGGGCGTGGAACGTGCCCGGCACGGTGCTGGCCCGGTCGAACTTGGACAGCCAGTCACCCTTGAAGTAGACGGCGTTTACCAAGACCAGTCGCGTGGCGCCGTTGATCATATCTGTGCCAAAATTCCGCGGGTCAGATGAAAAGAGAACAACGATAGTGGAAGGGACGTCTATCTGTCTTACGTCTATCTGACCCCAATAGACCCTTGATAATCCCAGCGGACCATTGCTGGGGAAGTGCCAAGCCCGTAGCACAGGACATCAAGTCCGTATGTTAGAGTAGAATCGTTCAGTTTCCCTGATCCGTGCCTTCCACTTCCCTTGCATACTGAGACTTAACCCGCGACCGCCTGGGGGGGGGGGTCGGATCCGACCCCCCCCCTCCGTTTTTCTTGAATAACTCATGAACCACTTTCGCTATCTACTTGAAACCTGGCATACCTTCTCCCCCATCAATTTGACGTCTCCTGTGCAATTTTCAAGAAAAAATTTCCAAAATTTTTTGAGATATATTGATTTTAGTGATGTAACTACATGGCGTTTTAGTCAAAAAGTGGTAAATGTTTAAAAAATCGCCAAAAATCAGGGTTTAAAGCAAATTGCAAATTAAGGACATGAAAAGACGCAGCTCAACGAGTTCTTTAAAATGGCTATCTCGGATTTTCCATAAAATGCGTTTTTCACCCCTAAAAATTCAAAAAACTATGTTTTTTGGAAAACAGCTTATAAAATCCAAAATTTTGGGAATTTCCAAAAAACAGGACTATATGTTATAGAGCTCTATTAGAACATTAGATGCCCCAAATTTCAACTTTCTATCTTGATTTTTGACCCCCAAATTGTAAAAAATAGCTCCAACATGCATAGGGCATGGTGACGTCATAAGCATTTTCGTGAATTAGAGGCACTTCTGAACATCGCATGTGAAAACAAATGGCACCACTAGATTCCTGGGACAAAGCTCGTCTAGAAAAGTGCATTTTTATGTCAAAAATAAAAAGTTGAAAAATTGACCTTTTTTCTCAGCCCTCGTATAGTATAAACGATTTTTTATGCTTTCAATGCACACTTATCACCAGCACAGTGACTTGGGGTTACATATAACCATTACCATCGGATTCGGCGTGAAAAATAAGCCATAAAACATGTGTCGCACGCCCATGTAGCAGAAATTGAAAACCGTGACCTTTCGTGACCTGACCTGACCTTGACCCGTACTTAGTATGACCCCTATACGCACATGGTACCTTCACTAGGCCTTTGAGGTCATTTTTGGTGAGTTTCGAGCAGCAGCTATCGATTCCGCTGTCCGTAAGCCTAATCATGCAAAACCCCTGAATTTGACCTTTGACCTGACCTTGACCCGAAAGTTGACCTCAATCTTAAAATCTTAAGAGTGCTTTGGGAAGGTCTCGTAGAGACCTTTCGAACGCCGCCTCGCGGGGCTCGATACGACCATTGGTTCTCGAGATAACAGGGGGGGGGGGGTCGGATCCGACCCCCCCCCCCCCAGGCTGTCGTGGGTACGGAAATAGCCCAGGCGGTGCCGGGTTAAGGCCTGGCTACACTATGCGTTTTCTTCCTGCGTTTTTTGCGTGTTTGCGTGTTTTGCGTGATATCGTTCTAGAAAAAAGAAGGATATTACGTTTTTGTGATGTTTTTCACCTTAAATTTTAGTTACGTAAGAGTTATATTAGCTTTTGTATATAACCAAAGTAAAAATTATATAGTTTATAACTTTTTTCCTAGAACGATATTACGCAAAACACGCAAACCTGCAAAAACGCACGCAGAAAACGCATAGTGTAGCCAGGCCTTTACGCGGCTCTATGAGCGTGCTGATGGTGCCGCGTATGTTGACTTACGCGGCCGTATATTGACTTACACGGCTCTACGAGCGTGCTGATGGTGCCGCGTATGTTGATTTACGCGGCCGTATATTGACTTACACGGCTCTACGAGCGTGCTGATGGTGCCGGGCGTATACTGCCTTTCGCTGCCGTATATTGACTTACACGGCTCTACGAGCGTGCTGATGGTGCCGCGTATGTTGACTTTCGCGGCCTTATATTGACTTACACGGCTCTACGAGGCACGAGCGTGCTGATGGTGCCGCGTGACTTGACTTACGCTGTCTCCAGTCTCATATATTGACTTACACGGCTCCACGAGCGTGCTGATGGTGCCGTTAGTATCCTCGCTGACGCGGCTGTTGATGGCGCTGGCCGCCTCCTGCGGCCGATTGAAGGCCAGCTGTTTGATCTCGGCGCCGAATATACGATCCATGAAGCGAGAGAACCGGCCTCGCAGCCGCATCCGGCGCGCCACGTACAGCCGGTTCGTCATGCGCAGTGCGACGCTGCTGTAGCGCCTCTGACGGGGAGAGAGAAAAGGGACAGCAGACGTCAGAGTGCTGACTTATAATACACATGCGTGCGTCTATCTGACGCTGGAGGGAGACGACGGGCTTCTGAGTTCTGAATTACAACCGCACGTCTGTGTCTGACGGGGAGAGAGAAAAGGGACAATAGACGCCTGAGTGCTGACTCCTGCAGACACACATTTCACGGCCGTATACCTAAGTCTATTTGGCGGGAAAGGGAGGGACGACGGGCTTCTGAGGTCCGTACCTAACATCCGTACACACATCCGTACCTAACGACCCCGTAAATGACGGTCACTGCAAAACAAGATGACTTTACTAATTGCTCTTCACTAGCGGGCTCGACGAAAATATTTTGATAACGTTCACGTATCTTATAAATTATTTTAGGACTTCCCTTAGTTTACGTATGCCTATGTGTTAAGACCGGAGGACCAGGCTAGATTTCATAGACGGTGAAACTAACAATAACTCGAACTCGAACATAGGTATCCAATATTGATGACCATCGATTTGAGGGACACACATACACGGCGCTGTAATAGAATCGACTTCTTTAAGGAAACGTACAGAAAACATTAGGTACAATTTTAATACTAAGGTAGGCATCAAGGCTATGAAACACATAGGAAATTGTATGATTCCTATGGATCTACTGACTCTGTTGACGTAACTCCATCGCACATGCTACAGGTGGCTACTTACTTAGATAACTATACCTAATGGCTAATACTTACCTAAAATTATATTACGATAGGCGCCGCCACGGTCGAAGGAGGGTGGAGTAGACGGGCATTCACTGACCTTAATCCTGCGCAGGAGCGCTCTATGAGCGCGCATCACGGAGGAGCGTCGCTGGCCAAAGTTCATCACGCTCTCCATCTGGGCGCTGGTGTTGCCGCCACTGCCGGCGTACGTCATGGCCAGCGCCGTGCCGATGCTCAGAGGCGAGAAGAACAGGTTGCCCGACTTGTCGTGCTCGGTCATCGTCTGACGAAAGAGCAAAGTGATTCGTCAGTGCGGGTTTGGGGACGCGACACAGTCCGGTCAGTCCGGTCACTCCAAAATTGCACAGACCGGTCATAGCGACAAGTCACAGCCCAGACAGTCCGACACGGTCAGCCTGGTCAGTCCAACACAGCAAAGTCTGGTCACCAGTCCGGTCAGTCCGACACGCACAGTCCGATCAGTCCTATCTGAGTCTGATCAGTCCGAAACGGCACACTCCGATCAGTCCAGTCAGTCAGTCAGTCTGATCAGTCCGACACACCAGTCTGTCAGTCCAACATGGCGCAGTCCAGTCAGTGCGAGTTCCGTGTCGATGCGGTCGGCCGCGACACGTACCAGGCGTACCTGCACACGAAACAGGCTGTCCGGCTAGACAAATATGGCAGACAGCCTTGTTGAATCTCACGGTTTTGCAAACCTGAGCGTCATGCTTGCAGGATTAGCCGTCTAGCGGTGAAAAAAACCAGCGGCTGCAGTGCACAGGACTCAGCCAAGCTTCAAATAAGCTTCAATGAGATACACCTCCCATGATCCTGAAACCAGTTTTTTCACTTGTTTTGCATGACTTTGTCTGCCTGGGTGTGACTGGCACGCCTGCACCATGGGCGCATGGTTCTCGGCGCTGGCCGCCCATCTGCACAGCCAGCCGCTCGCCTCGGAACGGTGCAGCGGTAACTGTGCACAGCGTGACCGGCAGCTGAGGGCCGGCCCGCTGGGCCGCTGGGCGCCGACTGCACTGTAGCAGCCACAGCAGCCACGCCTGCGGCCGGGTGCGCGGCTCGGCGAGCTATCGGCGGAGAGGTCAGCGCTGGAGTTGTACTGACGAGCCGAGAACGAAGAGCGTCAGCTAAACGAGCCAAGTATGTATGTAGCGAGTCAGCGGAAATGCTATACCAGACAGGCGAGGCAGACCTTTTACTCAGCACGCGTTGTGTACCCACAGGACTGAGTGTACTACATACCTAGGGGAGACCCGGGAGGTATGGGCCCCCTGGAGGTATGGGCCATCGCAGTTTTGAAGAAATGTTGCGTATTTTCACACATTTGATGGAGTTAACTGGTAGCAGCCATTCCGTTTATACATCCCACGTGATTTTCAAAATCTTCCTCAGTCTTCTTTGGGAATGAGCGGTGATAAAGCGTTTTTGCCCACTTCGAGTAAAATACGGTACATTCAGAAAATTCGTGATAAATTTGAACCAGGCTCGTTTTATGATGTCAGACCATCACTAACATAAAGTTTTAAGCATGCAAATTAAGACTGGATAGACAATTTGAAGCTTTCTTGCAAGATTATGAGCCGAGATGCCACGCACATTCTGGCGTCCTAACCGGGAGGTTCGGGCCACCCACCCCCGTTGATCCTAAATAAACAAAAATGTTGATTTCATTGAATGTCCCCGTCAACAAGTTTTATTTTTGTCGCGCAAGGTCGAAAATTTAACTTCAAATTTCATTCGAACAGAAAAATATCATTGATCTTATTTCATGATGCATGCTTGAGTTTACCAAAATACATATGGGCCCAAGTGACCTCCATGAAGTAAGCTGTTGGCCGCTTATGCGGTTCCTGGGCTCTAAGAGAGATCAAGGTATGAGTACCAGCTACGAGTATATTCTCATTGTCGAGAAAAGAATATGAAACATGGCAACGGCCCATACCTCCTGGGCCATGGCCCATACCTCCCGGTGTATTTTGATGGATCGAAAAAGCACATGATTTATTGGAAGTTATCTGGAGACAAAATAGTTGGTCCCAGATGCCTAATGTCAGGCAAACGTTGCAGGCGAAAGGCAATTTCACATGCACAGGGTGAAAAACCGGGTGTAGCCACTGCCCACTGGAAGAAAATTGCCTTTTCACAAAACCGGCCCATACCTCCCGGGTCTCCCCTATGTGCTTATCGTCTATCTCGTGTCACAGCCTGCAGGGTGGGACACTGGATAGACAGCAGGTATAGGTACATACAATGCTCGGCTTCGACACGAAAATGAAGATTCAATCGCTATCTCACTAGAACAGATATTTCACAGCCGAGTGATTTATAAATCTAGCCAATCTAGCTTTGAAAATATCCTGAAACAATAAAGTACTATACGTACCCGCGCATGCGTGTCATTCGGACGGACGGCGGTGGGAATGTTGCCGAATCTCAGCCCAGAGCTTACATGCTCGTGATTTGGCGGCTGCTACAAGCATGCGACGTTCATGGAACTATTTTTAGAAGCCAAGGGCGTTTGTGCTCAGGGCGTGCCGCCCTTTATCCTCATGAAGCGGCCGGTGCCGTCGGCGGTAGTGAAATGTGTGTCACGTTAGATCCCATGCAGACCCACGGTCTCTTTGATAACGGCCCGACAGACCCGGGCCATATGCGGTCTGGTCTGGCTATATGCCCGGCCTGTGGTCCAGCTCAATTTGTCAGGGTTTTAAAATCATAATATGTACATGATTATTGATATGATACTATATTAAATTAATTCATGAAGCTAAGAAATGATGAATCGTTTGACCCTAGCCACCACTAAAAGAGAAGGGGTTACCTCACCCATGACCGTTTTTCACGTTTGCTCGGAACGCACTAGCGATAGAGAGCTGAAAACAGGCATACGTACCTAATCTTTAATCAAGTCAAGTCTTGTGAGTTTGTGACAACCGCATTTTCAGGTCAGGTCAGGTCACTTACCACGAGTCTGAGACGTGAGTACGTAATTGGACGCAGGGAGACTTGCTGAATGGATCGACATGCAATTAAACCTCCTTCAGCCAGCTGCTTGACCTAAATAGCTTTGACCTGACTTTGACCTGAGGTTAACACCCTAAGTTGACCTCACCCAAACAAAATTTGTATCTTTCGACGCGCCTGCGAATGACGAACGCAATGTGCCCTAATAACGGCTGTGGCCATTTTGGCGAAGTCATTCACCAAAAGTCCCATCGTTGAAGCACTTGACCTGAGCTCAGAGGTCATCGGTTAACCTAAAGTCTTAGAATCGGATGCCAGTGTCTACGTTTCGTAGGCTCGCGAGAATCTGCTGATAAATTTAATGTCGAAACGGCGAGGGGTGGGTTCCACAACATGATCCACTCCCCATCGGTACCTTATTACCTATGTGTATGTATATGTATAGATAAACGATAGGTGGGTCTGGTGAGGGTAAGGTAAGAACAACCAAATTAAATGCCTTTTCGATTTTCGTATATATAAAGGTGTCAACCTTCGACGTTACAATCGAATATCAAAAACGTCTACCGGAAGCCGTCGAAACTGAGCAGCATTGCCGCAGCCCTGCACGATCTGAAATCTGAATGCACGTCAGTCACGCGAGCGGACCATACTTGGCGCCTTACGCTACCGATGGGCGCCAGGCACCGCTGACGCAGGACCCAGCTCCCTTCGAATGGGAAGCCTCCGTCACTCCTGATATCTGATTTACAGGAACGAGCGGAGGTCGTCCCCGGATTCGATGCGACCTTGCTTGCCGAGTCGGTGAGTCGGTAGCTGAATATCCAGACTGAGACGAAGCTAAGAATCAGACATGAGCATGGATCCGAGAAAATGGATCTGGGATCTGATCCCACGGATCCTGATCTCGGATCCGACGGGATCATAGATCCAGCTCTCAAATTTATCGAGAGATCCGTAGGGATCACAGATCCGAGTCTCATGTTTTGCTTGAGATCCAGTGAGATCATAGATCCTAACTTATTTTTTGTCAACACAGAAATCCCCCAAAAACACTTGTTGCAACTCACTCATAAACGTTCTGTTTTAGTGATTTTATGTGCTCGCACGTCATAATCCACAATTTTGTGGCACTTATTGACACAGAAACCCTTTAAAACATGGTTTCAAATGTTGTGCATGGTGGGATCCACTCAGATCATAGATCCATGTTCTTGATTTATCGTCAGATCGTATGAGATCATAGATCCAAGATGAATTTTTCACATCGGATCCGATGGGATCATAGATCCTAACCTGCAGTTTGCTTCGAGATCCACTGAGATCATAGATCCATCGCTCGGATCCATGCACACGTCTGCTAAGAATGCTACTCAGGTGTCTTCAGCAAGTGGGGGAAATCCCGCCTCCTGTTCCCCAGATCAAGCACATTCTAAATTCTCTTGGCCCGTATCCGTAAATAACAGAGCGTAGTGTCATCGAACAACAAAAATACAACGTTTAAAAAGGCATGACAACATGTTTTAGTTTGTAGAACACTTGACTGAAAAGAGATACTCATAAGCTCCGTCACAATTGTTTGAGAGTTTTGAAAGCATGCGTCGCCGTTGAAACTTGAAAGTCATCTTAACAGCGGTCAGCATCTCGGCAGTGCGGCTTATTGCACGCATGGCGCATTGCCCGCTGCACCGATTATGCAGATGGGCCACCGACAGGCAGGCACTAACAGGGCCGCGGCTCTCGTTTGTAGCGAACAGTCGAAATGACACTACACGATGATACGCGAGTTGGCGGGTACACAGAGGCGCCGCCGGCTCCAGTCGTCCACCGGTCAAGGTCACCTCGAGGTCACGATGCCGTCGTTGGCGCCTGGAGAGCTCAGCGACAACACCCCGCCACACGCCGCACATGCACGAAAATGAAAATATACAACCGAGAAAATGTGAAACAGGATCACAGCAAAATACTGCTCGCAAAGAACCGTATCACATACATTGCTGATTTGAAACGGATGTTTACACTAAGTGCAGAACAAATTAAAATGCAACAAAACTAACGATTGAAGGTACGAGTTGAGCAACTCGAGAAATAATTTAACCAAGGCATTTAAACCATTTGTTTTGCCAACATTCGACCAAGTATGCCTAATAGTCAGTATTAAATGTACAGTCTGTCTTAAAAGTACCGCGCAAAGTGACGGTGGATCCATCAAGCCTGATCGAGGAAGGGCCTGCTTTAATTTGAAAGTCACCGAACCAGTTGACCTGGGGAATGGGCGAGATTGTCAATTGCTTCGGTGACTCAAATTTAGCAGGCCCTTCCTCGGTCAGGCTTGATGGATCCACCGATACTTTGCGCGGTACTTTTAAGACAGACTTACCTAGGTATATAGGCATTAGCCATAAACAGATTCCACCAGGGCGCGGATTAACCCTCGCGGGCCCGGGGGGCGTTTCCCCCCCCCCCCTGGCGAATATTTGCGATAGCTCCCGAACGCTTAGGGATAGGAAAGCGAAACTTTCAGTACCTTTTCTCCCATCAATTTGGCATCTTCTGAAGTAAAAAATTTGGACCTAGCCCCCTTGATGACGTCACAAGGTTCATTTTTCTAGACCCCTGCACGGCAAACTTCGGCGTCACAGACGCAAACTTCAAATAGCTGCTAAAAATAGAGGTTTTAGAGATAAAGACAAATTACGAACACGGTTGTGTAGCGTTTTACCTAGAGAAAAATAGAAAAATAGTTTTGGTGACCTGAGGTCAGAGGTCAGGTCAACGACCCCGAAATGTGGTTTTAGTTTTTCGCAAATAACTTCGACAAAAATGGTCCTAGAGCTACGGCAGTGGTACCATCGCATTCGCCTTGTCAAGCCGCGTCGAATGATATATATTTTGTTCGGAAAAGGTCAAGTTTTATGTTGACCTCATGTGACCTCGAATAACCTCTGGTTGACCTTGACACATGAAAGGTCGTTTATGAAGGATTTGTACCCGCTGATCACGAATCTGGCATCTATTTTCCTCTAAGCCTTCATTTGGAGCTTCCGGATGGCAAAATTGCCTTATTTATTATTACTAACTTGAATTAGTGAAATAGCCTCTAGCAGGGATACTCTTCAGCGACTTTGACCTTTGAGCAGCCTTGTATCGTAAGAGGAACCACAAATAGGGAACTGATAAGCCTCAAAACATTTCAAAACATCTTGAAAGTTAGCACGCAAGATGTGCGAAAAAGTGCCAAGTTTGAGGTCAATTTTGAGCGTGACCTTGACCTTGACCTTTGATTTTGAGCACATTTTCGGAATCCTCAGATTCTCTTCTTTCGATTGACACCCAATTTTGCCGGTTTGATGCCGCCTGCCGTCCTCTAGAAGGCTTACTTTGAGATCACTACACATGTGCCGGTTTTTGCCTTTGACCTTGACCTCTGACCTTGAAAATTGACCTGAGGTCAAAAATTTTAGGTGCTTTAGGATCGTCTCGTAAGGACCTTTCGTTTGGTAACGCTTTTGTTTCCGTAGCTCCCTTATTTACGGAGTTAGACCGGGGGGGGGGGCGAAAAACGCCCCCCCCCCCCAGCTGCGGTGTTTGGGATTACCCCCGGGCCCGGCCGGGTTATAGGTCCGCCTAAAACGGTGTCGCTCTATGCCGCCGTTTGGCCGCGCGGGATACTCATGTACCTATCTCAGGTCAAAGCCGGTCAAGTCATGAAGGCGTTTGAGCAGTGATTATGCTGCACTGAACAGATCTTGTGTATACGTATTCCAGTGTTTCCTAGGACGTCTGAGGACTGAGCCCGCTGAATTCAACAGTGCGCTTAGCGCACAGACGCACCTTATACATGTCCAGGCCGAACTGACTCTGTGCCTCCGCTGCCAAGTGTCGCGGTTTCTTGGCGCTGACGGGGCCGGGCGGGCGGAGCGTCAGGCCCGCTGCCAGCACCAACACCACTGCCGCCGTCCACTGCATCTCGCCGCACTCTGACGGGCGTTCCCCGTCGGCTCCGAGCGGGAACTGCTCGGCGCCCGGGAGCCGTCCTCGGTCACACCGCCGCCAACGCCGCTCCGGTGACGCCGGCCAGTCGGTAGATGGCGTGCGGGCCAACCCAGCCGACGGACTGATCAGACCGGTTGGAGTTTCCTCGTGTCGTGTTTCAGAATTTCCTCCGGCGTGGCTTACACGTGCGCACTGTTCCTCTGATCATGATCAATGGCCAATTCGCAGGAAGGTATGCCGGAGCATGGTGCAACTGCGTTTAATTTAAATCGAGATCAATGTAGGTATCCATAGGTCCCTACCTCGACACCTAGGTACCTACCTAGGTCATGACCTTCAGTCTAATTTAGACGGTAACTTTCAGCCGTAGAGCGTTTCCGCCTGACAAAGACCTTGCAGGTCATACTCATGACCTACGTAGATCAATCTGGAATCTTTGACGAACAATCGAATGAAACTATTTTAAAAGCGATCGGTTTGAGCTCTACGTACATAATACATATCCGTACCCAGTTAACCCGCGCCCCGCTGGGGGGGGGGGGCAGAATCTGCCCCAACCCCCTCCCGTTTTTGCCAATAACTTCTAAACGCGTTACGGCAGCGACGTCAAACTTTCAGAACCGTACCCATGCATCAATTTAAGACGTTTTCTGAAAATTTGAGCGAAATCCGTCATTTTTTTGTTGAGAAAATGACGTTTTAGTGACGTCATGTTCGCCATTTTCGCCTAAAAAACGGCAAAATTTCAAACGCCGTTAACATCTTCATTTTTAAAGGAATCAAGACGTAACAAAAAGGTTAGGTACGTGATTCTACTTTGTCTATCAAATGGCTATCTCGGTTTTTTGAAAATTTTGAATTTAAGCCCAATTTTTTATATAAAAAACTGCCTGTTTTGGGAAAATAATAATAAACCCAAAATTTAAAGTGTATCGAAAAAAAACGGAATATATGTCAGAGAAATGGTCTATGTGCACCTACATACCAATTTTTAGAAGAATCGGTTCAAAAATGTTAGAGATATTTAAAAGGTCTGACGTCTGACGTCAGGTCTGTCTGGTCACGATAAAAGGTCTGACGTCACGATAAACACAATTTTTGAAAAATGATTTTTTGGAAGTTCTAGATCTCGTACGGAAACAAAAATAGCACCATTCGATTCGCCGTGAAAAACTGCATCAGATAGACACCTTTTAGGTCTTAACAACCAACTTCAAAATTTGACCTCACTTGACCTGACCTTGACCTGACCTCGACCTGAAATTCATCCAGAGATGGTCCATATCACTTATTGAGTGTGCCTATTGAATTATATGAATAAAATGACCCATAAAACATGTGTCGCACATGCCCTTTTCTATATTTTGTTTTTGGTGACCTGACCTGATCTGACCTGACCTTGACCTTGAGCTTTGAATGATATTGTATGCAACAAATATTGTCTTGGTAGCCTAAGAACACGTTTTGGGCAATCAGTCTCAGTCTATTCTTCGGCAACTACGGTACCTACAAGGCCGTTAATGTAGAAACTTGCATTTTGTACCCTTGACCTGACCTTGACCTGACCTCTGACCTACTTAAGCAAAAAAAAGTTGGGCTCTTAAGATCCCCCTTGTTGAGAGCTTTCGATTGCCGTTTTCCTCGTCTTTCTACGACCATCGGTTCGGAAGTCCAACGGGGGGGGGGGGGGCAGAATCTGCCCCCCCCCCCAGCAGGGCGCGTATGGCTGAATAGCCCAGCGGGGTACGGGTTAACCCTCGCCGGACCTATTGGTTTTCTACATACGCGCCGGCCGGGGGGGGGGGGGGGCGGGTACGACACTACGACCCCCCCCCCCCTCGCCGTTTCGCCCCTGGTGGAGCTAGCGCGTCGCGGAAAAAACGAGCGTGTGTGCCGTTACGAGACGCAGAGATTGGTACCCGATTTTAAAGTCCTAGGTCAACCGGTGACCTCTGAGGTCAGGTCAAGTGTCCCAAGGTACGGTTGAGTTTTTGGTGAATAACTTCGCAAAAAACGGCCGCAGAGCCGCGATTTTGGCAGCATCGTGTTCGCCTCGCTCAGGCGCGTCGAATGATATACTTTTTGTCCGGGTCAGGTCAACTTGGGGTGTTGACCTCAGGTCAAGGTCAGGTCAGCACCCCCAGGTCACGAAGTTGGTCGAAAGAGGTCATGTCACATATCATTCGATTCGGCAGGTCTTCCCGAGTCCATTGGTGGCTTTCCCGACCCACTAGCTCAATTTGATCAAGAGTTATTGACGAAAAACTAATATGACCTTGATGACGTCATAAATGACGTCACGCAAGGTCAACATTGCAAAAGTGACGCATCTAACCTTGCAAGGAGTGCATCAAATCACGATTCTGTGTGCTTGAGATAGTTGGAGATCGTTCCCGGCGCCAAAATAGCAGTTTTCATTTTTCCCCATTGACTTATAACGGTGAGGTCACGAAAATGACCGGACCTCATATGACCTTTAGGAAAACCTTTTGACCTTTTCTCGAATAACCTTCGAATTAGTCATGATAGGAACAAACTAAGGGCATCATCGTGATCCTCTGGTCAATCCGCATCGAATAATATATGTGTTGACCTCGAAAGGTCAAGGTCAAAGGTTGACCTCAGGTCACGTGACCTCGAGGTCATCATGTATATCATTCGATGCGTCTTGACGAAGTGAACACAATGAGACCATCCGCGCGGCTGTATCTTGTTCCTGTACGGAGTTATTGGCAAAAAAAAAAACTTTGATAACCTTTGATGACTTCACATGATTTTACAGCTGCCCAACAGCAAAACAGACCTCAAGGTAGTGAAGGTTGATCGTATATGAAGTCATGTATGGTATAGGGGGCCATTCCGACCCGTTTTAGTGGTAAAAACAGGGAGTTGATTTTCCCCCATTGACTTATAATGGGGAGGTCGCGAAATTGACCTGACCTTAGGTCACCGACATCAAAATTCCGAGATATGCAAATTGTAGCTACTAATGACCTAATAACATCCTGCGACTTTCAAAGGCCTCCGACATCTACTGTAGCTCTGGCACGGCCTGACAAAGCTGCAAAAAAGTGACTTGAGGTTGGGTCATTCAAAGTGACCTGGTGACCTGACCTTCAAAGTTAGGAGGTTCAAACTTGCACACCATGTGTAAAATTGATGAGAGAATAGTCGTAGGTACCAAATTTACGCGCCGCGGTTTTCCCGCTATCCGCGAAAAACCTCAGGGGGCGGATATCCGCCCCCACCCCGTCGGTGCGCGTGTTAAGATTGCCCTTGTAGGTCATGACCTAGGCAGCGCAGGTCAAATGTCAATGTTCCGGTAAATCTGGCATCTGCAGGAAGTAGAATTAGGCCATTTTGAAAGCGATCGGACGGTAATTCCGGGCTCTAAACCAGGGCTGAGGAGTCGGAGTCGGAGTTGACAGCTCTGCCCGGAGTCGGAGTCAGATTTGTTTTTTTGAAGTCGGAATCGGAGTCGGAGTTGAAGTCACCGAAAATTCATCGACTCCGCAGCCCTGCTCTAAACCGTACCTAGTCTACCATATTTTGACCTTGGCCTTGACCTTGTGGTAACCACGTGTGTCGCCGGCCGGCACGGGAGTTCCCGGCGCAGACCGATTCGCGCGCCGACTTGTGACGTCGCTACCCCGCCCCGGCGCTGGGGGGGGGGGGGGGGCGGCCCAGGACGTGTCTGTTCGTGAACTTTGTCCCATCACGATGCGACCGCGTGCCTGCGGCCTGCGCTGCCGCAGTGCGTCGGCCAGTGACCAATCCGCGCTCCGATCGGCAGCCACGTGGTGTCCGAGTGCTTCTGCGCATGTCTGGGCCCGGCCCGCTGCGTCGGGCCGCGCGTTCCCCGGGACTTCTAGGCCGAGCTCTTCACCCGAGCAGACGCGTCACGTCTGGCTCCGCGATTTGGCCCGTTCTGTCCGGGATTTATAACTTAGATTAGGCAGGGCATATTTGGCAAACTTGGATTTCATTCTCGTCTCTTCGTCGCTCCATTGTCTGATTCGCTGTTTTGGTTTTTGACTTCGTTTTGGTAATTTAAATATAACAACCCGCTCTTTTAATTAATTCTTTTACTTGGGGCCGTTTGGATCGAACTGATTGAATTTTTGGAACACGCACCAGGTTGATATTCTCCATTTCTGATTAACGTAAAATCCAGTCACTGATATGTGGTGAACAGCCCCACAGCACCACAACCTTGACGGTCATGACCTTGGTATCTAGGTAGATCAATATCCCAAGCAGGCTGGAATCTTTGTCATGAAATCGAATGAGACCATTTTGAAAGCGATCGGACGGTAAATCAGGGCAGTAGGCATACCCTGGTAGGCATCACCTTATTTGACCTTGACCTTGATTTTCGAGGTCATGACCCAAGGGAGGTCAGTTTTACTTGCTGACCTGCATCTTTTGATAGCGATTCGCTTGTTATCCCATTTATTACATCATCAGGCAAGCTGTTTTGGAGTTGTCTGCTTTTTTACATACTTTTACCGGATTTCAACATTTAGCTAAATTGACGGACGTACTTTTCATTGAGACAAATGGTGACAAACGTGGCGCAGGTAAACAACATTGGCATGCTGAGTGTGCGGGGTGTACGGTGTGGTGTCCCATTAGGTGCCACTCAATTTAGATTTCTCTTGGTATATTTTATAATGAATTTAGTTCGAATATTTGAATTGGCCAAAAATGGATTGATCTGCTGCAGGAGTTTGAGTTCAGGCGAAAGGGATATTGTAGCTAGACCCTCCGTAGCCGGCTGTCGTCGGGCGGTGAAACAGAATGAGAAAGGGCGCTGGACAAGGCTGCGCTGGAGGGCATTTTAGTCAAGTGGCTATTACAGACTTCTCCCCCATCCTATGCCTTTTACAACACGATTGTCATGTGCTCATTTCAAGAGCCTTGATCAAATAGCCCCAGGCGCCCTGTTTTCTGCTGTTTTCACTGTCCATCCGCGTAGGGCAAGATTGAGATTTCCGGGTGAATGTGAAGGGAGCTCAGTTGGGCAAACTAGACCTTTGGAATCAAAATATGGAGGCATCAAAAGATTGATTCCTTTTGGGCATAAATGCAGACCATTTCTAACTTACCAATCACATAAAAATAAGAGAGTGTTTCAAGAAGGAGCATGCCTGATCTTGAACAGAAATGCTTGAACTATCTCCTAAGCAAAATAATATTGCTCCTATCATAACAATTTGAATTATATAGGTAGTGAAAGACAATCAAGGAATTGATTCACTTTAAACAGATAATCATAATATTGATTCCCCATCAGCTGGCTAATCATTATTTTGATTCACAGGTAATGTTAACAGATAGGCAACAATGACTTGCAAGAATACAGCATTTATCTTGCTATTATTCTCATTTAGTGGTATCCTCAGCACCACAACTGATACCTATAGCATTGTTGTACTTTACCTTCGCTACATTTGATAATAATTCACAATTTTTAAATGTCAAGAATACAAAAACTGGAGCAACAGGTAAAAACCATATAAATAATATAAAAGCACTACAACAATGATAATTAGGAGTTTAAAAAATTCATTTTGCCATTTTACACAAATACTGATTGGTTAGTATGTGATTCATGATACAAAAATAACATACAGTGTGATTTCCTCAAAACAGCTTTTACGTGATGGACAGTGGCTCTGTCTTCTTCCCATTCACAAGGCCAAAGGGACAATTTCTTAGCTTTGAGGTAACACTTTTTGCAAACCTACCACATTTTTCTACATTTTAAAAGAAAAATCTCGCCGTCATGGGCCTTTTTTCAACCGTAACGATTCATTTGAAGTCAAAAGTGTACCCAAATGAATCAAAAAATTGATTCCATGCCCATATTTGGTCATGGCTCCTCCCACCAGAATCAAATTATTGATGCCTCCATATTTTGATTCCAAAAGTCTAGTTTGCCCAACTGAGCTAATCCAAATAAGCAAATTCAACATGCTCATCAAAGCTGAACATAGCCTTTGTCATCTAATTTATTTTATTTACTTGTAGTGGTTCCTATTTAATTGCAGTCCTCGCCTTGACCTCCACTGCCCTGCCACGGCCCAGGGGTCTAATTTATTTTGTGCTCGAGCTTGATCAATGGTTCACTGCATTCCCTGCCTCAAGCCCGTAGGTCTTCCAGCTTGATTTGAGCTCTGTGACTCTTGATAGACTAAACATTGACACCAGTCCCTCAGGCTTTTTTTTTAATTTCACTGTTGTACCATATTATACAATATACATTAGATAGGTAGTTCACAAGCTCATTGTTAGAAGCTCATTGATGTCTCAAGCTCAAGCAACAATGTGTTTTTTAGTTCACGTATGGTCATATTGTCAAGCAAAACATGTTTCAACACTGCTTGTTTCCAAGCTATGTTTTGTGTTTTGTCTCTTGATAATGATTGAAAGACATACCTAACACAACACATCCACCACTCATCAATGGCTCAAGCAAGGTTTTTGGGGCTCACCTGGTTTACTCACCTGAGTTTACTCACCTGGTTGGGTTCCCACTTCCCAGTGTCATTAAAGGAAGGCAGGGAGGAAGTGAGAAAGAGGAACAGGAACCCTGAATCCTCAATCTTACTTATCATTAGAAAGGGAAACTTAATATTAATGGAAATTGGTAACATGTAACAAATTTTGTAACATGTAACATTTCAGAATCTTGCATGGTTCACAATAGAAGTGCTGGAGAATGGTTAGGACAATTAGGTTCCTAGGTAGGTAGTCACCTCAGCTTTTGACCTATCTATCACCTATCTCTTGTTGCAAACCAAATGCCAGAAGACAGAAGTGGGTGATAGATATAAGGTAGGCATTAAATAGTTTTAGGAGCAGTTATATAAGTTGTGGGCTGGATGGGGTAAGGCTTTATGCTTTTTATTTAATGTTTCAGTTCTGGCCTCTGGGGTGTTTAACACTCCCCCTTGCAGGGCATGACTGGAAACCCATGGAGTCTTGGGTTAACCTACTTTTTAAATTGCCCAAAAATTGCTTTTTTACCCATTCTGGCCTCTGTCACTACATATATGAGAACAGTGCAATTTGCATGTTCTTTCTCTTTCTCAATCAGCAATGATATGGGGTTCACATGACCTGTGCTATGTAACCTTGGTGATTGACTAATAGATCTGAAATGCACAAGTTGTAAGTGCTCAGGATCTTGCCCCTTTCTAAAAGTGTCATCTCTTGGTCAAATTTCCCTGGTTCAAAGAGCATTTCAAAGCTGCAGCTTTTTCACATTGCAGGGGCTCAACTATGACATTAAAGGTCAGTGTCCCACTGTCCATTGACCTGACCTCAAAACATGGTTGCTGCTGAAAGTCCCAGGCCCAGCTGGGAACAAAGGCCCTGCATAATGCCCTCCTTGATAAATTTATGCTGCAGCACCTAGAACCTTCTGAATTTCCCAGCCTGTAAATGACAAAAAACTTTTTTGATAACAGTCTGTCACACATTTTAACACCAATCACATTTTAGTAGTCCAGCAATATGGCTTTGTGACTGGTCATTCTAAAATCCAGCTGGCTCTCCAGTCAGATTCTATTCTCTGGGACCAGGAATGAAAATGACAGTGCCAACACTAGCTCCAACACTGTCACGGACAGCCACTTTTTATTCTTGTATCAACAGGTGGTACGTACACCGCTCTCCAGCTCATCCGCCAGCATGTGCGAGCCCAACACCGCTGAGGAGTGGGTGCCGACCGTCGGCGACCGCGTCTGCTGTGACGGCCAGCGCGCCACCGTCCGCTTTGTGGGCAGTGTGACCGGCGCCGACGGTCTGTGGGTCGGCGTCGAGTGGGACAACCCGGAGCGGGGCAAACACAATGGAACTGTCAAGGGAAAACAGTACTTCATGACCAGGTGAGAGACCATGAGCTAATCGAGCACATAGGTACACATGACAATCTTTCAGAGATGGGTTGATGTCTGGATGGTATTGCTTCCAAAATGACATATTTGTTGCACGCCTAAAATCATCATCATCCTGTTGCTCCCATTGGATATGTCGATATCAACTGACTGTGCGCCTCGTCGGCAGCCACGCGACGGGCGGCTCGATGGTGCGTCCCCGGAAGCTGGCGCGGCCGGTGCAGTGCGCGCAGGCAGTGGTCGATCGGTATGGCGCTATCCTCGACACAGACTCGACCGTGGACCGTCAGGAGCTGGACGCCCTCCAGCAGGATATCAACGCCAGATTTGTACAGGTCAGCAGCGGGCTGGGTGGCGAGTCGTACCGGGGAAGTGTGAATTGATTTGGACTGTTGTTGCGGGTCTGTCATAGCGATAGCATCGTTATTCACTGAAGAGCTGGTAAGGCAGTCATGGTTCTTACTTGATATGATAGCTTTGGCCTCTCAGTTAACGGCGATGGTTGTTCAACACGACCTCGACACAAGCCAGGAAGGCCCGGTTAAAGTGCTCGTCTCAGCGGTTCCGGCGCCTACTAGTGACTGACGGCCATCGTCTTGAAATCACTTGAATTGTGGTTAGTAGATAATATAACAAATAACAATATCTTGTATCTTTTGGACAGGTGATTGGTCTGACAAAGCTGAACAAAAAGCAGAGCAAGCTGGACCAACTGAAGAACGTCTACCTAAGGGATAGCTGCGTCGCTGGTGATTCATCCCAGGTAACTATTGAACAAAGCCAACACAGGAGGTTTGTGGGCTGACGTCCCTGTGAGAAAAGGGTGTTATTTTAGAACTTAATCTTTTCATCTTGCAATTTCAGTTTAGAACTTCGATTGTTTTTATTTCCCAAAGTTGTTTTGATCTCACCACGCTTTTCACAAATTTGTTTTTGAAACTTTGAACTTAACTTCGTATGTTTTTGCTCTATCGCTGTTGACCGCTGCGACGGTTACTTTTGTTAGTATCCGGTCTGAATATCACACTGCCATTCACGCTCTGATCTGTCACTGCGTCTGACGCCTCCGGGTGACGCCGCACCTCCTCTCTGACAGCTGCTGGGGCAGCTGTGTCCCAACATCGAGGAGCTGGACCTGGCGGAGAACCTGCTCAGCTCGTGGGCAGCCGTCGCAGAGATCACACGACAGCTGCCCAAACTGCGCATCCTCAACATTAGGTGAGTTCGGTAGAATGTTATAGATCGCTGAAACTGCGTCCATGACGTCATCGCTGCATCTTAAATCCACATGCCACCCAATGAAGCAGAATAACATTGACGGCATGTACGACACGAGATGAGGAAAATCTCAGCGGCCTTATTGTAAACACTGTAGTGTCTAGTGAATGATATTAACTAACGTGAGGCTCGATACCATTTACCAACGTTGCTTTGTGATGGTATGAGCATCACAGTGTCTGATGACGTGATTCCAGAGATTTTCTGTGTCAGTGTTGTGCCATCCGCGCCGTCGAGAGTGATGGCAGTGCCTCTCCGTCTCTGTGAGCCGCTTCTGACTATGGACTGTGACGGTGCTACGCCCCTGTCGGCAGTGAGAACCGTCTGGCCGAGCCGGACGCGGCGCTGCGGCCCGCCTTCGCCTCGTTGCAGATCCTGATGGCCAACCGGCAGCGCTACACGTGGGAGGAGGTGCTGCAGTGCGCGCCCATGTGGCCCGACGTCCGGCGACTGACGGTCAGTGCTGCCTACTTGGGTCAGTGCTGCCTACACGGACTGACAGTGATGCCTACCCGGGCTGGCAGTGCAGCCTACACAGACTGACGTTCAGTGCTGCCTATATAAACTGACAGTGCTGCCTACAGTTACACAGACTGACAATGCTGCCTACACTGACTGACTGCCATTGCTCCGGCCTGTTTACACGGACTTATTACCTGCCGATACCGACAATGTTCCGACCTGCCCACACGTGCGAACAGCTAGTATTCACTGTTCAGGCCTGCCTACACGAACAGAGGCAACTGAGCAGGGGTGGTGCCTTGTGACTGGTGTGCTCGTTGGTGAGTGCCGTCTGTGGCAGGGCTGGTTTGAGTAGGGACGATTGTGTGGTTTCCTTCGGTGACCGGTGGGTTATGTCCGTGATGATCGCACTGATTATTGGTTACGAGTTCTGACGGTCGTTTCAGCTGGTGACGAACCGAATCCGCTCGCTGGCGCCGCCGCCTCCGGAGGTTTTCCAGCAGCTCGACTCGCTCGATCTGGACTCCAACCCGATCGGAAACTGGGCAGAGGTCATGAAACTGGCCTCCCTGCCAAAGTACGTCGTCATCCATTGTGTAGTTGCTACACTCTTTTGGTCTTTACTTAGCGTGCAGTCGGCTTGGTCAGAAATGGATCTGAGTTTATAATGCTAAAATCGCTGATAGAATGTTAAAGGTTATTACAGAGTCATGCCATTTATCTCGTCAAGGGTTTGCCACTTACTTATGTCTCAGTCTTACGCTGTTACGATGCTTAACCTACACCGTCTGTTTCAGACTGAGGGATCTGGGGCTGGCCAACACTGGGCTACGGCGACTGGAGGTCCCCGAACAGAGTGACGCCCTGTTCCCCGCCCTGCAGGCTATCGTACTCGACTCCAACCAAATCGATGAGGTTAGTGTGTCAGCGTGGCTTGACGACCGTTCGCAGGTGTACTAAATGACAGATTGTCTCGTTAGTTGCATTGAAGAATGACTTGCATTGCTATTTGCTACTACTGTCAGTTGTCACTCTAGTTTGCCAGGTGCCAAAGACTGTTATAGTTTGGTTGCCCTGAAAACAAACCCCTCCAGCCGTCTCTGGCAGTCATCGGGAAGCTTAAGTGTCACTGTCCGACCCTTGGTATAGGTAGTTTTTTGGAAAAGTTTCGTGTTTGTAATTAAGATTGCCTTTGCGTCCGACGCCCCTCCCCCCTCAGTGGAGCTCCGTATCGGCTCTGGACCGACTTTCCTGTCCCGTCCTGCCTCTCAGGGAGGCTCGCTGCTGTAGTGGTGACTATATACGCCCTCTCGTCGCCAGTGGAGCTCCGTCTCGGCTCTAGACCGGCTACCAGCTCTGGTGGATGTCACGCTCCGAAATAACCCGGTGACGGCCATCGAAAAACCGGAGACGACCCGGGAGCTCATCATCGCGCGCGTCAGCAAACTGCAGGTAGGGCGTCTGAACTGTGAGCGTACTCTGCTGTGAACGCCTATTGCATGTTTGTGTCTGCTAGAAGGGTGTACTCTAACGTTTTGTTGTGAGCTGTACGTAGGTTGTTGTTCCTCCCGGGCGACCTCAGAGGTCGCCCGTCAGCCAGATGACGCCTGAAGCCGCGGGCCAAGACCGTGACGACGTCGCCGTCACGCAGCCGCGCAGGTTCCACGTGGATGCTGCCGAGCAACCGAAGACGGAGGCCGGCGAGACTCGGACACCGGAGCAACACGTACTCCGGACGTGTGTCCGCCTCTTCTTCACACTCGATGGAGCATGCCGCTGGGCAGTCCTTCTCAGGGCACCCGGGGCACGGTTTGTCGGGAGGCGGCCGATGCGGTGGAGGTACTGGCGGGCCATACCCCATTGACCGGCCCTCAGTTGATGGATGACGTGAACATCCACCGCCTCGCTCCTGTTCACACGCCTGAGACCGGGCTCGGCATCCGGTCTCTCCAAATTCGCCGGGAGAAGGAGTCTGGCCACGACTTACGCCATGCCTCTGCAGTTTGCAGCCGCTCAGGCCACGGCGCCTGTGATGGTGCGGACATCCGCTTGCGCCGCCTGCTATGCTGCACGTAGTTGCACTGATAGCGCAGTGGGCAGGGGCGCTGACCAATGGGTCGGGAGGTCTCGGGTTCGACCTCCGAGACCTCCCGGTAGCCGGGTTGGCGCCCCCGCCTTGACTTCGCTGTCAGGCGGCCTTTTGCCGGCCGATGGACCCCGCCTTCCTGTGATGGACGATGTTGGGGCTTCGGCCTCACCACGGTGTGGCACCATCATCATCACACTCATCTATGTAGGACGTAGGTGTCTGCTGGAAGCGTCTACCTGTGAGCGTTTTTTTTTTTTTTTTGTCAGCGTGTACTGCATTTAAGTGTCTCAGTGCGTCTACTATAGGCGTTTACTGTGAGCGACTGAGCTTATATTGTAAACGGCTACTACCACGTTCTTAGCAAGATGTTGAACCGTGCAGGGTGGGGATCTGATTCTTCCTTTTACTTGAGTCTTTGTGCTGTGCTGGGGCGACAGGCGTGAGCCCGGACAATGCTCAAATACTACCTCTGGCCCCAGGTGTTGAACCGTGCAGGGGGCCCGGTGTGACCCCTGGCAATACTCTGACACCAGGTGTTGAACCGTGCAGAGTGCCCTGTGGTGACCTTTGGTGACGCTCTGACCCCAGGTGTTGAACCGTACGGAGGTGACTCGAGAGGAGCGGCGCTGGGCAGAACTCGACTACCTGCGCCGGTTCGGTCCCGCCTGGCGGGAGGCTGGCGGCCGGCTACCCGCCGCCGAACGCGGCGACGCCTGGCGAGCATTCCTGCAAACACACCCGCGCTACCCGGCAATATGTGATGGTAGGTCCGGGCTCAGTGGTTAGGTTGTGGTGTGCCTGTGCCTCTCTACTCTGAATAGCGGGGAACTCGAACGATAGGGAGTTTCTGGTATATAATTGTATTTGTTCAGATGCGTGGTGTGTGTTTAGCCAGTGCGTCCCATAGTCCTGTTGCCTGCGAACAGCCTGTGGCTTAGTGTGGACACACAAGTCGGTGTGTTTCTGACCCTGCCACGTCAGACTGGCCTGCGTCATCTACCGTTTATCCCATCCCTCTGCCCAAGTGGAGTCTCCGCCGTGTCACTGACCAGCGCCCCATTCCCAGCGTGGGACGCGTGGCGGAGTGAGTGGCCTCAAACCACTGTGTCCGTAGTGTGTCACTGACTTCACCCCCATTCCCTGTTCCCAGCGTGGGGCGCGCCAGAAGACTCTGAGCTGAAGATCACCTCGGACACTATCAGCGCCAACATGGTGTCGGTCCGGCTGGTGCTGCTGACGCGAGAGGGCGAGCAGCTGCGGGACCTCGAGCGCCGGCTGCCGCTTACTATGCGACTGTCCAAGCTGAAGGTACTCGTCAACAAGCTGTTCAGGGGCAACATCAAGCAGCTGGAGCTGAGCTACCGTAGTCCCGGCCAGGTGAGAGGGCAGTGAGCGGCGTCGGTGAGAGTGTTAACTGGGACGACCCCTGGAGCTACCAGTTGGTTAGCAAGGCGAGTTAACAGTGTCTGTGCAGTAGGTAGGTTGTCTGTGCAGTAGGGTGTCCCAAATTTCACGAAGTTTTCCAATTCACTTAGGATACACCGGGATCCCGTTCCTTGGTTCATTTGAACCTCACATACCAATTTATAGAGTAAACTACCGGAAGGTTGCCGCTGGTGCTCTGAAGTTTTATTTGTATTTTGGTGTTATATGCTAATGCAGCGTTGTAGTCTCCGTATGCAAAATGGGACATCTGTGTAAGCAACGTAGCAATGTTACCTTCTCCGATGCTCAGTGATGCTCAATCTCACGCACATTGCACACTGATGAAGATCCGGGTATATGCACGCATACATACGTGTGTAACTGTGTGTGTGCGTGCCCGTATGCGTCCGTATGTGTGTATGTGTGTGTGTGTGTGTGTGTGTGCGCGCGCGCGACTGCGTGCGTGCCTACCGGAGAGAAGGCAATGCCCGTTTTAATCTTGGTGTGAGTGATTTCATGTGCCGATGATTTTGTTCAGGAGTAAGTGATCAAATACAGGTCTCAGGTTGGTACTTCAAATGTCTCGCTTCAGATCGAACCGTCTGCGGCAATGGCACACCACATAGACGCAGATTGAACGTAATCAAATTGATGTTGAAGCTATGGGTATTAACTTCGCCGTACCCTGCTCTGAGACCGTCTACGCGTAACATCACTGTATCCTGCTCCGAGATTTGTATAAACAAACATCATACCCTGCTCTGAAAACTGTCTATAACATCGTACCCTGCTCTGAGATCCGTCTAAAACATCGTACCCTGTTCTGAGATCCGTCTTTAACATCGTACACAGCTCTGAGATCCGTCAACAGCATCGTACCCGGCTATGAGATCCATCTAAAACATCGTACCGTGCTCTGAGATCCGTCTAAAACATCGTACCCTGTTCTGAGATCCGTCTTAAACATCGCACACTGCTCTGAGATCCATCTAAAACATCCTAGGCTGCTCTACGATCCATCTGCACTATACAGTCTACACGTAACGTCATCGCACCCTGTTATAATATCTGTCTACCACTGACCCATGTAGTCCTTCTTCGTGTGACCGCAAAACGACCTGTGCCACGCCACCACCTGGGCCAGCGCCTGCGGCTGGTCCTCATCTTCCGTTCTGTCTATCAACTCCTGTGCCAGCTTCACTCCGCCATCCGCTCCATCATTTACAACTGCCAGACTGTTGTGAATAATGGAAAAGAATTGACGTATTTGTGAACTGCTTTGTAACCTGAGATATTTTCCCATTTTTTTGACAGGCTCTTGCAACCATTCGAGGGCGCACTCTTCCAGATTCTGGATGAGTGACTATGATTCTCATAGCCGGGTGCAACCATTCAAGGGGGCACTCATCAAGATTCTGGATGAGTGCGCCCTCGAATGGTTGCAAGAGCCTATCAAAAATGCAAAAGTATCTCAGGATACAACGCAGTTCACAAATACATCAACAGTCTGGCGGTTGTGAATGATGGAGCGGATCGCGGAGTGAAGCTCGCACAGGAGTCGATGGACAGAACGGCAGATGACGACCAGCTGCAGGCGCTGGCCCAGGTGGTGGCATGGCACAGGTCGCTTTACGGTCACACGAAGGACTACATGGGTCTGTAGTGGTTAGACAGATATTATAGCAAGGTGCGATGAGGTTACGTGTAGACTGTAGACTAGAGTGTAGATGGACCTTAGAACAGCGTAGGATGTTTTACATGGATTGCAGCTGAGCAGTGTACGACGTTAAAGACGGATCTCAGAACAGGGTACGATGTTTTAGACGGATCTCAGAGCAGGGTACGATGTTATAGACAGTTTTCAGAGCAGGGTATGATGTTTGTTTATACAAATCTCGGAGCAGGATACAGTGATGTTACGCGTAGACGGTCTCAGAGCAGGGTACGGTGAACTTAATACCCACCGCTTCAATATAAATTTGATTCCGTTCAATCTGCGTCTATGTGGTGTGCCATTGCCGCAGACGGTTCGATCTGAAGCGAGACATTTGAAGTACCTACCAACCTGAGACCTGTATTTGATCACTTACTCCTGAACAAAATCATCGGCACATGAAATCACTCACACCAAGATTAAAGCGGGCATTGCCTTCTCTCCGGTAGGCACGCACGCAGTCGCGCGCGCACACACACACACATACACACATATGGACGCATACGGGCACGCACACACACAGTTACACACCTATGTATGCGTGCATATACCCGGATCTTCATCAGTGTGCAATGTGCGTGAGATCTGAGCATCACTGAGCATCGGAGAAGGTAATATTGCTACGTTGCTTACACAGATGTCCCATTTTGCTTTCGGAGACTACAACGCTGCATTATCATATAACACCAAAATGCAAATAAAACTTCAGAGCACTAGCGGCAACCTTGTTTACCGGTAGTTTACTCTATAAATTGGCGTGTGAGGTTCAAATGAACCAAGGAACGGGATCCCGGTGTATCCTAAGTGAATTGAAAAACTTCGTGAAATTTGGGACACCCTACTGTGCAGTGTCTGTGCGTAGGTTAGCAGACACTTATTTAGTGCTACTGTGTAGGCAAGATGATAGTTGTATTGGAAAATGAACTGAATGGCGGCGCACGGACTGGGTGAGCTACAATCAGCCGCGGTGGAAGACGTGGGTGAGCCAGCTGCTATTACCACAGGACGTGTATTTAGGCGCTTTACTGCATACACTGAACGAGTGCCATGTTTTCAGGACGAGAGTCGAGAAATCGCCATGGACCGCGACCGAGACCTGCGCTTCTTCGGCGTGGAGGAGGGCGACCTGATCATAGCGCGCTACTAGCCGACCGACTAGGTGTTCAGTCAGGGACCTGGTATTGGCGCTGCTCCGTGAGGGACCAGCTGCCGCCGTCAGGACTTGTCCACTGAAGAGGATGTACCGGCAATTCGTGTGAGTTACAGAGCTGTCTGTATCTCGGTGCTCCGGTATAATTGTTGTGATCGGACTACTATGCGGAAGTGAATTGTGAAATGAATGGTGCGATACAGCCTACCGCTCCGATGGAGGTCTGTCTCGAAATCGTCACGTTCGGTCGGCTCGGGCCAATCTGACGGACTATGCGTGCCGTGTACGCTCGCTAGGGAGGTGCGTCCACGGCGCCAGCTCCTGAATCAGTCATTCCCCGTGTCTCGCCGCGCCAGGGACGGACCCGGACGCGGAGGGCCGGTCCTCGCCCTCAGGCCCAGAGTGGCAGAGAGCTGGTCCACAGGTCAGTAGTCACGCTGGAGCCGTCGCGCCGCAGTCCGCACTGCTGCTTGTTACCAGACGCACAGACTCCGTCCGTCGCCTCCGCTGGCTGTGGCGAGCACTGCTGGCGTGTGCTTTTTGTGATTGTGCGCGGCTGTAATTGTAATTGACTGACTGTAATCCCGGCGCTGCGCGGCGTCTCGAATGTCTCATCAGTCCGTGCCTTCCCGTGCGCCAGGCTACCGGTGGGATGTGATGACCGCGAGTCGGCAAAGCTGGGAAAACTACCCGAGGCTTGGGTTCCCTGCTGCCCGGCCTGTGTACTGGCGAGGTGCCTTGTTGATTCTACTTTTAGCCTCCGACACAGGAGGGCCACTCATGGCACGTTAGCACCTCGCCCTAACTGGTGATCGCAGCTTTACTCAATGGAGCGACAGTCAACGAGTCGGGTGATAACAATACAGTATTTATTAGTGACGTCAACAGCCAGTCGCATTTGATTGGACGGAATGGACGAGTGCTAAGCACATACGAACATACGAACAGCTGAGCTAAGAACAGCACCCTGGACGGAATGTATCATAGAAAAGGGGAACATTTCAGACAATGGATCGTACGTTAACACGGCTTTCAATGGGAATGTCTTAACAGCAACACTGCGTAACAGACTCGTGCGCACGAAATATTAACGCCGCATAATATCACAACAACCGCCGTTCGCGCATGCATGCACCCGGTTGCGGTTCTCCCGCAATTTAGACCCGCAGCGGTGTCTTTGCCGATTAAGATGTTGCACATCCCCGACAGTTTTGTACGGTACTAAACTGTACGCATGGTCTCGTGACACTTGCAAAAATATTCAAAACAAGAACTGGCCATTTAGTCAGCGCGACCAAACACCACATTCTTATAGAAAAAGACACGAGCACTGTCAACAAATTGCGAAATTATTTTGGAGGTCAGATATTCAACAGTGCGTGTCATGAACCACCAGCGAACGGCAGAAGTTTGTGCTTATTTGTGGAAGGATCAGCCAGCAGCCATCCAAAATTGGTCTAGAAAGCCTCGCCGCGCCCCACAACATGCAATCACCACTGGTGGCGCGTCACCGGTCACCAGCAGTCGGCTCGTCCACTAAGCCCCACTATGTGTGCATTATCGAACACCATTCACCAAATGGTAACAAGTTTGAGACGATTCCATACCTCCGCAAATCACTAACAAAAAAAGTGTAGCCTCAACTTCTCGACGGCTGCTTCCAAGTCACCACAGATCATACAGCACCAATACTCGCCATGCCTTGGCGACCCGTACGGAAACAGAGATTCTGGTCCTGATCGTGAGCCAATACCGTCTAACCCTGACAATCGGCTCAAGTCGCAGCGCAAGGGCGCGTCGTGTACAGATGCAAAAACGCGTGACAAAGATTCGTTGTGCGCGTGTACCACAACTGTGCGAGTACTCTGGTTACAGGTGTTCAATGAAACACTACGATACGAAAGACACTAGGAAGAATGCTATCGGAGTGCTGAAGTTCACTTAGCCTCACTTGATCGCTCCCACATACTCCCACACAACAACAAAACAATAAAGTATATAAAACAAACAACAAATTTGGCACGCAACCACAAAAAGCATCAAAATATAAGGACGGCATTCAAAATCATTTCGTTGCAGATCTATGCACCGTGTTACTCCTCGGTCACCCGTAGGAATGAAGTTTCATGCAAACTCCCACCATCAACCCCAGCCATCCATACCTAAATAGAGGCCGCCAACAGCCAGCAGTGAGCGTGTGTCAGTCAGGGCGGCCTCACATTGACCCTGTGTATCTTCCGTGGGCCGGTAGGGGCGCTTAACACCAGCTTCTCTCCAACAGGCACTTGCCGCGGAACCAGAGGTGCATCAGTTGATTGGTTGAGCTCAGGTTTTGGAGTCCCTCCAGCCCTGTGCGTGCCTCTTCCACAGTCTGCCAGCAGATATCGTTACATAGGGGTAAACAAACTCCCCATGCAACAGACACACTACCGATAGGGGCAAACAGACACTTAAGGCACGGGATACTGCTGGCAGGATTTAACAAATACTCCGAGGCCCGAGCACGAAGCACTGCCGATAGGCCGGGCAATAACTACACTGCAGGCACGAAACACATTGTCAGGTGTGTTTCTAAATTCTAAATTCTAAATTCTAAATTCTCGTATTCTAAATCAAAGTCAGGTCACCTCAGACCGGGTCGTTTCACCCACCGTTTGCGGCGGCAGGATGCGCCGCGTCAGGTGCCGGTTCAGGTGTTCGTCTACCGCCTGTCTGAGGAAGGCCTTCTGCGGGATCGTCAGACACGGCAGGCAGACGCGGCACACACCTCCACACGAGTCCTGCCGGATGGGGGACAGGACAGGCAGAGGTCAGCAATAGCATACATAACACACTGGCAGACAGACGTGGCACACGCCTCCCCAGGAGTCCCGCCAGAAAGCAGAAGGCACAGGGCGGGCCGGGCACAAACCCAGTGGTTAGTAGTATACTCCACACGGGAAAGACGGAATGTGTATAGAGACAGCTAGCTGTATGTATTTCAGTCACAGAAAAAAAAACAATTCTGCACAAATATAAAACTGTATTCTGCATATGAATAAAATAGGATTGCATATAAATAAATATCCAGACGATGGTCTGGAAAAATCGGTCTCCATAAACATGAGTTACACTTAATCAACCCGCAAAAGCACTAGCGTAAAACACTCACGGTGCAGGTGGGCGAGCCGCACTCGAGGCCAAACACAGCCAGCTCCTTGTCGGTGGCGAGCATGTCGGAAACCGGGCCGGGCGACCTGGGGGACAGATGTCGAGCGTTAAGCGATAGACCGGATTTCGGGACAGGGGTCAGTTCTACGACCGTGCCGGACCTCGAGACAGGGGACAGTTCAATCACCAAATGAACGGTGACAGGGAAAAGATAATAACAGACCGGGCCTGGGGACAGCTCAGCAATGGATCTTTGGATGAAAATACAGATATTTTCTAAACACTAGTTCAGATGTAAGGGACTAGATATGAGAAAAGAACATAACAGTTCACACTGCCGATTTGTAGAAAACACACTCGACTGCAACTCATGGCACTGCCACTCTACCGACCAGTCGGAACACAACACCTTATCTGCACACAACACACCAGCCCCGGTCATTACCACAACCCTGTCACACTGCCACCGGGCCGACTGAAGTACCGCACACCACAGACACTCACCGCGCCTGGCGGGCGAGGCCGGGGCGAATCCGGGGCGCCAGGCCGACCAGGCTGAGCAGACTGTAGACCACTTGTTCGTAAAGCGGCACGTTCTGACGAAAGTGTGCTGATGATAGGTTTGGCGACATGTTGGCCTGAAACGCAGACACCACAACATCACGATCAATGTCAGCTTAAGGAATTAGGCACAATAGTCACAGCATGGGACCATCAATAAGGCCCACATCCGGATAACCGAGCCAGTCAGCAACACTAACTACGCCATAAATGAGGACACCACACGCTAACGCTCCGGAGAGCCAAGTCGGTTATTTACGGCGTCTGCCCTTGACCTGTCGAAGCCAACATACCAGAGCGCTTGCCCCACACCTATCAATGCTGACGTATGTACCCAGACGTCTCTCTCTGAACGATCAAAAGCCGACGTACCTCCATCAGGTAGACGTTGAGCTCATCGTCGACCACAAAGTCGAATCGCACCATCTCGAAGAACTGCCGGGTGGAGCCGAACCTCCTCGAAGCGCGAATCATGGATGGCTCCTTAACCAGGTACACCGATCGGATCGACTCCTCGATCTGCGACCAGATCTTCTCCGGCTTAGAGCCTGCCGGGCGCAGCACGAACACAACTTAATGAGTCACTGACCTCGATTGACACAATAGCACTATTACAGCACGGCGCAGGAGAAGCTCAGCATGGTTCAGAGTAGACAGACCAAGCAGCAAACGGACGAAGGACCTCAGCTTACTCACACCAATGAGGTTCAATGAGATATTCATCAACGAGCTCATCAATGACACTGCTTAGAGTCGCTCAAGCGACTAGCGACCGTAACTGATTGCCTGCCCGAGCCGTCACTCACCCTGGGAGCGCAGGAAGGCGTTCAGAGACTCCCTGTGACCCAGCTTCAGCTCGTTGTGGTAGCGGCTGAGAGAGGGCACCTTCCAGATGGGCAGGTATTCGTCGCCCACCACGTACTTGTTGATCACAGAGGCGTCGAACGGGTGGTACTCTTCGGCACAGAACCTGAAGAGACATTGCGGATTGTTAATGTTCGATCTTATCGGGGTTGCAAACATCATTTCTCAACTGGTGAAATTGCCAACAGAGAGGAAGTAGAAGTAAAAGTCAGGCAGAAGTAGCTCATCTGCTGCTGCGATTAAAGGAAATATTGAGACAGCAATATTTCGATTATGAACTAATTATAACAATTTTACAGGATTACAACGCAGTTAGAGTTGGTACACTGAAATGCCGACAGACTACCCGGGTGCGCTCGTGGACCCACATAAGCAGCACGTCTCCCCAATATAAGTACCGACCTGAGCAGCACGTCTCCCCAGTAGATGTAGACGCGCAGCGGGTCCAGTGACGTCATCACCGTGTAGATGCCGATGTCGAACTTGTGGCCGTCCACGAGCAGTGGGTTGCCGATGTACTCCTGGAAGAAGGTGCTGTTCGCGTCCAGGTCCGCCGCGTCCACGCTCTTGATCTGAATGTCACGGTGACTGTTGGACTTTTGTACGAACAGAGTTTGGGGATTCTTCTTGGCCTGTAAGAGAGAAACAATGAAATTGTGAGCTCATTATAACATCAGCCTTTTGAACAAGTAAAGGCTCATTTGACACAACACAATGCTCAAGAACCAGCTCCAAATACACCACTAGTTACAGTTAACATATTATCTTACATAGTCGAGCAGCTGTTCCTTCTCCTTGGGCATTTTGAAGGCGATCGGTATGTGCTTTATCCCGCTGGTGGACAGCTCCACTTTGGACGTGATGAACCCCGAGCCGGGAAAATGATTCACCTGAAAAACACCACGAAAGAAAACATTTGATTTACATCAATCGTGTAAGTAAATTGTAATATAATCGTACTTCAGTATCTCAGTATCCAACGAACAACACACTATCTAATAGCAGACATGAAGACGGCTTATCCTGTTATTTTTTTATGCATTTATCGGCATGGTTTTTGACTTTTGAACCGTAGATTCAGAAAGTACCTACGAGTAAAGTATAACTCAACCTCTGATGATCATATAATTATACAGCACAGTTGTATGTACCTTCTGGTGGCTCTTGCGTGCGATCAGCGTGTCGTTATAAATGCGGAATGGGTACGGGTGTGACCAGAGCACGTCAAAGTCCTCCTCCGACCCCCGCTCGTAACCGAGACGTTCGAACACGTTCAGAACGTGCTTCAGATATCCAGAGTCCACCTGTTGGTGAAAATAAACACGCCTTTTACAACAGTGGAGATATACGAGACATTTAACTTTCTCCAGGCCTCGTCAAATAAAATATTCACAGAATATTTTGCTTCAATTTTACAGACTTCAAAAACAGCAGTATTGACTGGTCCCAGAAGGGAAACTCAGATTATCCGAACACGCGTGAATGTTTGACATGGAAGGCTACCATTGGTCGGAGAGGCTGCATATCACTCTAGCTAACCTTGTTCCCGGCCACCCAGACCCGCGGCGGTCGGTCGGCGGCACCCAGGCCGCCCTGCTGCTCCTGTAGTCGGTATAGCTGCGCCGCGAGGACGGCCGACACGGCAACCAGCACCGACACGCAGCCGTACAGCAGCGGCGGCCAGCGGCTCCAGGGCCGGTCGGCATCGTCCTGCCGGTCAGACAGCGCGGTGTGGCACGACACGGGGTTAGCCGGGGACATCGGCCTCTGGCGGAGACATCAGCGCCGGTGTTCGGTGAAGAGCGACACTAAGAAGGGAAACAAAGACAAAAAAGATGTCGCGACATTGCGCCGTAGTTTTACAATTTACATAGTCGGTGGTACAGGCAGTTTCGTACTTGTCGTATTCGTAACGACATTGGACATTGGACGTAACAACATAGAGCGATGACATTGTACATCAACATAGGTAAAGTAAAGGCTGATGAACATTGAACATAACAGCATAAGGCAAAGGAAAATGAACACAACACCAATATCCAGTGTGTTCTGAGTCTCTATACCTGCACTTTTGTTGCTGCCTTAGTTTCCTGGTTTGGACCAGGTTTACTCTTAGAAGATGAGGATGTGACTTTCATTATTATTAAAATTCTCTTCCAAGTTCCAAATAACCTGAAACAGAGGATTATCACATATTACACTTAACAGGGAATGTACTGCACACAAAAGTACCAACAATAAAATGGTACGAAATAGTAGGCTACTATAATTCCAGGTCTTTGAGAGGGAACACTGAACAGGAAACTCTTAACGGCATATCAAGAAAAATATGAAGATTGAAGATACTGAAACCCATCAGCAAATGATACATATACAAGGTAGCTATTGCATAAAGGTCATAAATTATTTGTAGCATTATTTGTGAGTGTGAGAAAAGTGTAGGGACTAGGGTGGAAAAGTAATCAGGGCACCAGTCACTATAAGCACAGAAAGGCTTTGAAATTTGAATATAAGCAAAAAAAAAAAAAATGAGCAACTCCATTGTTTCTTTAAAAATCATAAGAATTTTATTTGGACCCCATGTGACAAAGAAAAGACTGCCTTACAATACATCCTAAGCTCTGACCCACATAAGATGTGGCAAGATCTGTGAGCCCCTCAGCCCCTAGCTCTGCCAGAAATGTTGCGAAACATGCCAATGGGGTTTCACAATTTACAAAATGGCCTCATTCAAAGATAGGCTTAGCCAACATTAAAATTATTGCAGTATATGAGCTACCCGACCCAAGACTGGAAAACATCCACACTATGAATGCCTATGAGAAACTCATGTGCCAAAATTGATGCACTGCGCAAGTGAACTTTTTATGCCCAAATTAAGCCACTTTTAACGCGTACACCTACCTAAGTAGCATTTAGCAAGGCTATATCAACCAGTGTTCCCAGTTAGAAGTTCTGGGGCCGCAAAAATTGGTAGAGTAGGTACTAACTAGACTCTTTACTCTAGCACTAGAGTAAGGTACTAGAGTAAAGAGTAGGTTAGAGTGATATGTTCGGGGTATCTTGTGGCCTGCGGACACCTGCCACCCAGTTGCCACTTGCCATAAATATTTGTTTTTCAGCATTGCCAGAAAAGGTGAACTATAATTTTCACTATCATTTTCTTGGTATTGTCACACAATGAGCACTAATCGTTATCATTCTGGATAACTTCAATAGTTTGACACTTGACAGGCAATAATAGGTGGCATAAATTCTACCTATCATCCTAAAATGAATATAGATAAGAAATGATGATCTTGTAGCTTGGGTAAAATGAAACGTGTGTGACGCCTGCTTTACGACTAGGTACCGAATTTTTAAAGGCCACTTGGCCTCAAGGGTCCTCCGGTCCTTTCGACTTTCGAGTTCCTTGCAGTGTCCTGACTCAGCCATTACATAACAAGTCGTTTGACCATCGTTTGCTGATGTTATTTGAAAATTAACAATAAAATACCAATATCAATGTAAATTGATGTAGATTCAACTATATAAAAAAACACCATTACTCGCAGTCGCTTCACTCCCCTGCCCCACAATAGCAAAAAAACTGCGTCATTTAATGTAAGAGATGCGCAATATTTGTCGAAATTTAAATTTCTAAAGCACCGACAGCACTACTGAACCGCCACATTTGCAAATATTCTATAACTCAAAAACTTATAGTGTCAAAAACCACTGAACTGATCGGATCAATCTAACCATCATCCAAATTGTGGAATACTCGTTGTGGAATGCTAGTTTTACTAGCATTTTTGAAAATAGTGACCTCAGGGGAACTCAGTAACCTTGGGAGTACGCATGACCGTTTTCGCGCCTTTGGCAGCTATTCTTATTGTTCAGGTTATATGGCCTTGGCAACTACTGGGCTGATCCCTGGGCTGATCGAGACGAAAACACCACCAGTCGATTCGCTGTATGATGCAACAGTCATCAGCCACATCGAAAATGGTGCCTCATGTGACCTCCAAGGGCTCCGCCACCGGGGGGGACGGGTGGGACATGTCCCCCCCAACCAAAATGTTGGGTGGGACATACTATCTTTTGTCCCCCCCAATAATCGGCTCCTCCGCTGGTAGATAAATCGACTCTTGTTCCTGACACCGAATACAGAACATAAGTGCAAAGAATCTCCGAAGAAAAAAAAAACGTGATGAGAATCTAATTAACCTGTCGTCGACAACCTATATTGTCGCCTTGTGCTTTAAGTCTTTTTCTGTTATGAGGGCCACGGATTTCAATTTTTTAGTAGACAATATCGTCAGGCATTTTCGCGTTAGGTATATCAACGTGAGTCTACTGCAACGAATGTTCGCAATCATACGTCCCAGTCCGATGATGAATCCAGTAGGTATATCCAGTAGGTAATCCAGTAGGTATATCAAAAAAGGATCTCTCAAATTCAATCAATTAAACAATCAATACGGATATTATTTTTTTTTCGGGTAAACGCTGTCGTTCTTTAAGAGGAAACTTCCATCGGTCAAATAAGAATATCGCAGAACTGTAGGATAAGAGAAGCTGTTTGTTTAAAGTGTTTGAGAGGTTAACCCTCGTTCTTATATGGACTATGGTGGGTCGGATTGACCCACCCCTCAGTTTTTCACAAGTAACTCGCGTAAAAAGTGGTTTATCGTGACGAAACTATTAGTATTTCCCGGGAATTTTGCACATCCTCTGAAAATTTCATGATCCTAAGTCCTAACCCCATGGGCCATGACTTTTGGGCCTGTGGCCTATTTCTGGAGACCATGTCAGGCCGAACCACCGATTCGGTGTATGTTAGCGCACATTATCTGTACGTTTCCAGACTTGTCATGTCATAAAACCGAGCCAACATGTGAAATGACGGTAGACACATGCATTCGGGTAGGTGTCAAGGTCACGTGAATTAGACACATGCATTCTAGTATGTGTCAAGGTCACGTGAATATCAGGTCAAGGTCATTACCGTTAGATGAATTTGGTTCACTTTTTCGAGCTAGGCATGTTACTAGGAAACTTTTTGGAGATGATGTCGAATTAAGCATATAACATTGAGAAGTAGTTTTGGTACCAATGCAACATGTTACGAAGCTGTCTGTGGTTGACACCTAGGTACTTTGGCTAGCCGGAGGGACACGCACTTGTTGATCTCACCTAACCTGATCCGACCTTCGCCAAATGCTAAAAATGGATTCAGATTCAGCGCAAAACTATGAGCCAGATACCATTAAAAAATTGAAGCTGGTCTTTCAAGTTTTTTTTTCTGTCTGGTGTGTCAATATGATGAAGGTACAATGACTACAATCTAATATTGGGTAATATTGCATGGGTCAGGTGGCCTACCATTTCTCTATTTTTTATTTTTCTAGTTAAAAAATCGTCGTATCAGGGCTATGACGAAAAACAAGTGGCCTAAATCCGTTGAGAAAACTGGATTTGGGGGTACCCTAGGTTTAGAGGAGACACTACGGCGATGGGCGAAGGGCAGACCGTCCCCCCCAACCAAAAGTCCGTGGCGGAGCCCTTGGTGACCTCGTTGACCTTGGGAGGTCAACTTGACGTTTTTGCCTATTGCAGCCGCCGCCAGAGGCGCAACCAAGGGGGGGGGGCACACTGGGCATTTGCCCCCTCCGTCAGCTTTGAAGGCGCCCTCGAGGCAAATGCCGCCCCTGCGCACGAAAAAGGATTTGCAGGCGCCGAAGGCGCCTGCAAATCCTTTTAGAATGTAAGCATGCAGTCTACAAAAGTGTCATGCCGCCCTCAGAAAGAACAAGGCCGCCCGCTGAGGTGTTTTACCGCCCTCCACCGGTTTACATGCAGTCCAAAAATGCGTTATGCCGCCTTCCAAAAGAATTATGCCGCCCTCTGAGGTAACATGCCGCCCTCTGTGGTCAGTACGCCGCCCTCCAACGGTTTGCATGCAGGCAACGAAATGGCGTTATGCCGCCCTCAGAAAGAACAATGCCACCTTATGAGGTGTTATGCCGCCCTCTGTGACCGCTATGCCACCCTCTAACGGCTTGCATGCAGTCCACAAAAGATGTTGTGCCCCCTCAGAAAGAACAATGCAGCCCTTTGAGGTGTTATCCCGCCCTCTGTGGTCAATACACTACCCGCTAGCAGCTTGCATGCAGTCCACAAAAGGTATTATGTCGCCCTCAGAAAGAACAATGCCGCCCTCCGAAAGAACATTGCCGCCCCCCGTGGTAAGTACGCCGCCCTCTAACGGCTTGCATGCAGGTAACAAAAGGCGTTATTCCGTCCTCAGCAAGAACAATGCCGCCCTCTGTGATGTCATGCCGCCCTCTGTGGTCGATACGCCGCCCTCTAACTGTTTACATGCATTTCACATAAGGTGTTATGCCGTCCTCAGAATAATGCCGCTCTCTGAGGGTTCATGTCACCCTCCGTGATCAATACGCCGCCTTCCATTAGCAACATGCTTGGACATCGACGTCATCAGACCAATCATACTAGACTAGATTTTGGGGCGCACTTTTCGTGCGCCCCAAAATGCCGCCCTTGTCAGAGTGCCGCCCCTCCCTTCCGACTGAGTGCCGCCCCTCAGCTATGAAGTGCCGCTCTCTGAAGCATGTGCCGCCCCTCGGCTGAGCTCGCCTCAGAATCCCGGCGGTCGGCAACATACTGCCGACGGTGGAGGAGGTCAGGCGCGGCGACACGGTGGCGGCCCTGGTGGCCGCCTTCAGGGCCCTCCAGAGCTGAGAAGCTACACCACGGCTCTGCCGCGGATGGAGGGGACAACAACAACATGTGCGCATAGTACGTGAAGACTTTGTGGGAATTGTGACGACAACCGACACAACGGGAAGTGGTCTCGCCGAGACCATCATGGCCAAACTGGAGGAGATCGGTCTAAGTATCGACGAGGCGACAGGACAAGGATATGACAGCGCCTCCAACATGAGTGGTAAGTTCAGTGGTGTCCAAGCAAGGATTGCAGAAGTCCAACCACTGGCCATGTACACTCATTGTGCCAGCCACCGTCTGAATCTGGCCATCGCCCAAGCATGCAAGAACAAGGATGTGTCCCAGCTGATTGGACTCATCAGCAACATCAATACGTTCCTGAAAAGCTCTCCCGCAAGGACCGCTAAGCTGCAGAAGCATGTGATGGACAAGTTCCCTGCAGCGCGATCGAAAAGGCTGAAGCCTCTGTGCCCCACACGGTGGGTGGAGCGGCATGACACGCTCGTGCTGTTCCACGATCTCCTGCCAGCCATCGCAGCGACGCTCGAGGAAGTGAGTCAGTCGGCACCCCCTGAAGCGGCGTCAACAGCACGATGCCAGGTCCTGGCCCTGGGCATCAGATCGTTCAAAGTCCTTATGACACTGGCCGTCTGTGTCCATGTGTTCGGTATCACTCTGCAGTCTGGCGCTCTCCAAAGCCCTGCAAAAACCCTCACTGACGCTGGAAGAAAGATTCTCAATGGTCGAGACGACGAAAAGGGACCTTCAGGTGCTCCGGGAAGGCTTCCAGCCCGTGTTCGAGACGGCCACCGAGCTGAGCGACGCGCTGGACGTGGAGGTAGCCATGCCGCGTACCTGCAAGAAGCAGACCCAGCGGGCTAACGCGCCAGCGGAGAACGCCGAGGAGCACTACCTGCGCAACATCTTCCTTCCCGTCGTGGATGCCGTGATCAGCGAGCTGACGCGCAGGTTACCGGACAGTTACCCTGGCAAGGACCTGCTGGTGATCCCGTCGTGACTGGGAGACGTGACAACGGTTCTGAATGCCGCCAAGACATATGAAGCCGACCTCCCGTCTCCAACATGTCTGGGGCCGGAGCTCACATCCTGGCGTGCCCGATGGGCGGAGGTCGAAGCCAGCGAGAGACCCAGTTCGGCGCTGGAGGCACTGAACCGGTGTAGCTGTAGCATACACCCGACAATTTTCGCGCTCCTAAAACTCCTGTGTACGCTGCCGCTCACCAGCTGCGCTGCCGAGCGGTCATTCAGCGCACTGAAGCGGGTGAAGACTGCCGGCCGATCCACCATGGGGGAGGACCGCCTCGAGGGCCTCCTCCTCCTGAAGATGCACAAAAGCATCCACGTCGACGCAGCCTCGGTTGTAAAAAAGTACCTCAAGAAGAGGGAGACCCACGCCGTCGCCCGCAGAAAGTGAGGCAGAAGGTGAGATGGCGGGAAGGACTGTCACCGATCGCGCTGCCGGGCTGTCCGGGTCGGCCTGCTGACAAATCCTGGAGGGGGGGGGGGGGCTCAGTGGACTCAGTGTGATGCGTGTCACAGAAAGGAATGTTGTTATCATAACCTACAGTGA